GGCAATGAAAACAGACAATGGGCAGGGAAAGCCTGGAGAGGTATGGCTCAGCAAGAGAGGGTGCTCACCAAGCACTCCCAGCACCGCAGAGAAGAGGGATGGGGGAGGTCTGAGAGACCGCTCAGCCGGGAAAGACGGGAAAGACTCTGCTGCCAAGCTTCATGACTGAGCTTTTGTCTCCAGAATCCACAGGGTGGAAGGCGAGAAATGACTCATGAAAGTTGTCCTCTGACCTCCACATGAACGCTATGGATGAGCATGCACACACACACACACACACACACACACTCCACACGATGTGATGTGCATGAGTGCTCACACACACACAAACACACACTCCACATGAATGCTATAGGATGTGCATGTGTGCGCACCCACCCACCGACACACCACATGAATGCTATGGGATTGCATGTGCACGAGCACACACACAGACACACACAATTATATAACAACAGTGATGCTCACCTCAGCACTACATTCTTTAAAATTAGAATTCTACAGAGAAGCCGGGCGGTGGTGGCGCACGCCTTTAATCCCAGCACTCGGGAGGCAGAGGCAGGCGGATCTCTGTGAGTTCGAGACCAGCCTGGTCTACAAGAGCTAGTTCCAGGACAGGCTCCAAAACCACAGAGAAACCATGTCTCAAAAAACCAAAAAAAAAAAAAAAAATCTCATCTAACTGGGACCATATCAGGACATAGAATTTGGGTACCCTGAGGTTTTTTTTTTTTTTCCATGGGCCATTGTCACTCACACAACTTCAGGATAAACTGTCTCTTATACCCTTTGAGGAGACAGTTGTGTTTTTGCTGACTCACTTACCCCCAACTTGATTTTAAGAGGTTAATATTGAATGGAAATTATTGTTGTTGGTGGTATTATTCTATTTATCAATTACTTCTTTATGGTGTGGGAAATGTAAGCAAAAGGTACTGTCTCTTCTATTAATGGGTTACATAAGACAAAACTCCATTAAAAAAAAACTGTGGGGGGCTGGAGAGATGGCTCAGCCATTAAGAGCATTGCGTGCTCTTCTAAAGGACCCGAGTTCGATTCCCAGCAACCACATGGTGGCTCACAACCATCTGTAATGAGGTCTGGTGTCCTCTTCTAGCCTGCAGGCATATATGTAAACAGAATATTTAAAAAAAAAAACAAAAAAAACTGTAATGCATAGCAGAAATCAAAATTCCTCCAGGGTCAGTTCTCTCCTTCTCTCCTCCTCCTCCTCCTCCTCCTCCTCCTCCTCCTCTTCCTCCTCCTTCTTCTTCTTCTTCTTTTTTTTCTTCTTCTTCTTTTTTGTTTTTGTTTTGTTTTTTGTTTTTTGAGACAGAGTTTCTCTGTAGCTTTGGAACCTGTCCTGGAGCTAGCTCTTGTAGACCAGGCTGGCCTCGAACTCAGAGATCTGCCTGCCTCTGCCTCCCAAGTGCTGGAATTAAAGGCGTGTGCCTCCACCGCCCAGCCAGTTCTCTCTTCTTGATATCAAAATATTTGCTCAAGGCTGCATTCTCTGTGAGAAATTGTGTTCTGCTTATCAACTGCGTCTGTTTGTGAGGCCAAGCTCTGGCCACTTTGGGTGAGGCACAGGGACCCTCTGGGTTAGGAATAAACACCCAGTGTGGATGCCCTGACCTCCGGGTGACCTTGCTCTGGGTGCACTTGCCTGATCGGTTTGGCACCACAGAGTTCCCTTCTGCTGGGAACCCTTTTGTGTTCCAAAGTATTTTGGATTGTGTGGTCGTTTTCTTGATATCACAAACCCATACATCACAATGGTAACAACCCTACCCTACCAAGGTCAAAGAGAATATTTACTAGTTAGTTCAGGGGCTGGGGATGTAGATCTTTGGTAGAATACTGGTTTCACAAACACAAAGCCCCGTGTTACATTCCCAGCACCTAACACGCTAGGTGTGGTGGTACTTGACTGTAGCCCCAGTACTTGGGAGGTAGAGAAAGGAGGAAGGAGAGTTCAAGGTCATCCTTGGTTAGCCAGTTTGAGACCAGCCTGGACTACTTAAGACCTCATCTCAAATCAAGCAAACAAACCAAACTCAAACAAAAGCCCATTACTTCGGGACGCTCACTGAGGCGTCAATGAGGTTGATACAGGTACCTAGCAGGTACCTAGATGGACACCATTTCAGTATGGATGCAAACCAATTCTCCTACTTGAATTCATCTCTGAGCCATTTTTATGGTGTGGCTCTCAGAGGCACCTAGCCTGTGTTTCAGAAGAATCTATCTCTGAAGCCTCGGTTTTTATTATTCCTTCTTCCACTCACCTTAAAACACTTCTGGCTTGGGGACGCCTCTCTGCCTTGTTAGTTAACCCCTCTATACTACAGAGTCAAACACAGCGTGTCATAGTTATTTACGTCCAGAACTGGTCCTCCAACTAGGCTGTCAGCTGGCTTGGACAGGGAGTGTGTATTACTCAGACCTGAATCACCAGCACCCAGCGGGCAATCGCTGTAAGATTGTTGAGTGGATAACACAATGAACATCACAATGAACACAATAATAACCCAATGGACAACACTGTGGGGCTTGCTCTGTTCAAGACAGGTACAGGGCACTCGTCAGCGCATATTATGTCAGCTGGACCTGGGATGACGTTTTGTTGACTTGTTGATTTTTCATTTCGTCTTTAAATTTTTACTATTTTTAAACAGGGTTTCACTCCAAGTCCCCATGTAGCTGAAGATAACCTTAAACTATTTTCTTGCCTCCAGCTCCAAAGTGGGGGGCATGTGTCACCATACCAGACTCCCCCCACTTTTAATCAGTTCCTCAGATACAATCACCTGTAAACCATGTTAACATGGTTGGGCAGTGGTGGTTCACAGCTTTAATCTCAACACTGGGAGGCAGAGGCAGGTGGATTTTTGCGTTTGAGGCCAGCCTGGTTTACATAAAATTTCAAGCTACTCAAGGCTACACAATGGGAACCTGTCTTCCTTGGAAAAATCTTAACAGGTTTTTGATACATAATTTATATATTCCATTATTCACTCATTTAGTTCAATACTCAATATTATTCATCTGTTTTGAGGCAGTGTCTTCCTGTAATCTTGGTTGTCCTGGAGTTCACTATCTAAACCAGGCTGGCCTCAAACTCACAAGAAATTCTCCTGCTTCTGCCTCCCAATTTATTCAACATTTTAAAAAGTTTATTTTCATGTGTGTGTGGGTGTGTGTGCATGTGTGAGTGTGTACAAGCATGTAAGTGCAGGTGCCCCAGGAGGTCAGAAGAGGGCATTGGATTCCCTGAGCTGGAGCACAGGGCCTTTATGTGTTTTGGTGATAACTCTGGTCCCCTGCAGAGTAGAACTCACCCACTCTTCACGGCTGAGCTCCAATAGTCAATGTTTTCAATATTCCTATAATTATGCCATCATCCTCATGTAGTTCCTCTTGTTTAAGAGAAAGGATCTTCGTACATATCCCTAGTTGACCCAGAATGCACCATGTAGCCCAAACTGCCTTCAAATTCAAGGCATTCCATCTGCCCCAGCCTCCCAAGTACCCGGATAACAGATGTTTACCACCCAAGATTTCCTACAATAGATTTAAAACGTTTTTTGTGCCCTCTAAAAGAAATTAAGTATCTTTTAAGTCGCTCCCTATTTCTGTCCAGCTTCTCTTTTTAGCCTTAACCAACCATTAACCTACTAGCTCTATATATTTGCTTCTACTTTTGTTTTGTGGTGTGTGTGTTAGACACAAGGTTTCTCTGTGTAGTGCATGTTGTTGTGGAGCTTGCTCTGTAGACCAGGCTGGCCTCAAATTCACAGAGATCTGCCTGCCTGTGCCTCTTGAGTGCTGGGATTAAAGGCATGCACCACCACCTGGCAAGATTTGCTTATTAGACTCTTTTTCTTTTCTTTTTGAAACAAGGTCTCCTGTATCGTAGTCTGGCCTTGAACTCACTATATAGAGGATGATCTTGAATCTTGAATCCTTCTGCCTCTAACTTCCAAATGCTGGAATTATAGCAGATATGGGCCAGCAGGTCCATCCCTTTTTCTTTTTAAAGGTTGATTTTATGTATATGTGTGAGTGCCTGCGTGTATGTATATACTTAACATGAATGCCTGGTGAGAGGCTATCAGAGGGCCCTGGATCCTTTGGAATCGAATTTATAGGTTGTTGTGAGCCACTATGTTGTGGTGTGGCTCACAACAACCTATATGTTGTCCTGATCCTCTGCTAGAATTGGAAGTACTCTTTACTGCTATGCCATCTCTCCAACTCCCTCCCTCCCTCCTTTCCTCCCTCCCTCCCACTTTTTTTTTTTTTTTTTTTTTTTTTGGTTTTTCGAGACAGGGTTTCTCTGTGGCTTTGGAGCCTGTCCTGGAACACGCTCTGTAGACCAGGCTGGTCTCGAACTCACAGAGATCCGCCTGCCTCTGCCTCCCGAGTGCTGGGATTAAAGGCGTGCGCCACCACCGCCCGGCGTCCCTCCCACTTTCTGTGTGGCCCTGGTTGTCTCTTATTCAGAGATGTGCCTGCCTCTACGTCCCCTTCCTGGAATTAAAGGCGTGTGCCACCATTCCTGGCTTTTTTTTTTTTTAATTTCATTCATTCATTCGTTTAACACAGGGTCACAGGGTCTCCAATAGCCCAGGATGGCTTGAAACTCACTATGCAGCTGGCCAGGAACTCGTGTCAATCCCCCTGCCTCAACCTCTCTAGGGTTGGAATAACAGGTAGGAGCAAACATGACCGGCTTGGGAGCTTTTAACGCATCCAAGGCCGGAACCTTATCTTATTTAAACACTAACAAAACCTAGACCACGAAGATGTTTAAATTCTGTCTCCAAACACTCGACAGGCTGAAAGTCGAAAAGCTAGGACACCTAGGACACCTAGGACCAAGGAGGAGCCCCGCCCATCCTGCAGCGGTCCGGGCGTGCAGCAGGCCGTCCCACAGTGCCTTGCGGCACGCACAGCGGCGGAGCGCCGTGCGGCGGTGGCGCAACGTGAGGCTCGTCCCTTCCAGCGGCTGCACGACGAAGCAGAGGCGACATGGAAGTGTAAGCGGCTCGTCCAAGGGAAACCCGACTCATCTGGGGACCATGAGGCGGCTGGCGGCCCGACCTCCGGACCGCGAGCTGGACGGGTGGGCGGAGTGGTCGGGCCGGAAGTACCTGGTGCCGGGGCGGCAAGGAAGGGATCCTGCTGGCCTGGCAACCGGCTCCCCTCCCACATTCGTTAGGGGAGGGGATGTGGGAGGAATAGATATTTTCTTTCTTTCTTTCTTTCTTTCTTTCTTTCTTTCTTTTTCTTTTTTTTCTTTCCTTTCTCCCTCCCTCACTTCCTCCTTTCCTCCCTCCCTCCTTCCTTCTTTACTATTATTTTTTTTTCCTGGTTCTGGGCTTGAAACTCAAGACCTTACCAGTACTCCCCAAGTAGTCTGCCCCCGAAGTACCTCGCAGTCACAATTACCATTTTGGGATGCGGGCTTTGCTGCTGATCCATATCCCCCCAGCCACCATCATCATCGTTTTGTAATGCTGGAGATGATACCCAGGAGTTCGCACGTGCTAGGCAAAGGCTTTGCCACCAAGCTGCAGCCCCAGCCATTCTCTCCGTCGTTATTTTGTGATACTGATAACCAGGGCTGTGAACATACCAGGTGTACTAGTTTCCTTTCTGTTGTGTGACAAACACCATGAGCAAAAGCAATTTAGGGGTAGAAGGGTTTATTGCAATTTTTTTTTTTTTAATTGAGACAGGGTTTCACTTTGTATCTCTGACTGTCCTAGAACTCACCCTGTAGACCAGGCTGGCCTTGAACTCACAGAGATCCGCCTGCATCTGGCTCCTTGACTCCTGGGATTAAAGGTGTGTGCCACCATGTGGCGGGGTTTATTACATCTTACACTTCAGGACACAATTTATAATTGAGGGAAGTCAGGGCAGGAACTCAAGGCAGGAACCTGAAGCAGAAAGCATTCAAGAACTCTGCTGTCTGGTATACTCTCTGGCTTTTCCTAACTTCTTTATACAGCCCAGGGCCCCCCACCCAAGGATGGTGCCATCTCTAGTGGGCTGTACTCTTGTGTTACTTAATAATCAAGACAGTCCCTCATGGACATGCCCACAAACCAACCTGACAAAGAGACAGCTCAATTGAGGCTTCTTCTCCAGATGAAGCTAGGCTGTTTCAAGTTCGAAAGTAAGATCAACTAGGCAGAGCCACACCTTTAATCCCAGCACTCAGGAGGCAGAGGCAGGCGGATCTCTGTGAGTTCGAGGCCAGCCTGGTCTACAGAACGAGTTCCAGGACAGGCTCCAAAGCTACAGAGAAACCCTACCTTGAAAAAAAAAAAATCAACTAGGCAAATTTTTGAGCTATATACCTCCCTAGCCTTCATCATCATACCATCATTTTATGATGTTGGGGATGGTATCCAAGAATCTTGCACGTGCTAGGCGGGTACCACTGAATGGCACCCTCCACACATTTATTATTGCTGCTATTATTTGTGGTGCTGGGGATGGAAACTAGGGATAACTAGGCAAGCACTTTAGCACCGAGCCAACCCCCTATCCTCGTATTGTGGTGTTTGGAATGGCAGTGTCCTGAACATTCTAGGCAGTTACTCTCCCACCAGCAAAGCCATCCTAACAGTTTTTTCTCCACACCTTTTTTTAAAAAGATGATTTGGGCCGGGCGGTGGTGGTGCACGCCTTTAATCCCAGCACATTTTGTTACTTTATTCTTTTATATGATGGTGGTTCTTCAATGTTTATGACCTTTCTTTTCCACTCATTTCCTGTCTGATTGTTTTTTTTAAATATTTTTTTAAATGTTTATTTATTTATTATGTATACAATATTCTGTCTGTCTGTATGTTTGCAGGCCAGAAGAAGGCACCAGACCTCATTACAGATGGTTGTGAGCCACCATGTGGTTGCCGGGAATTGAACTCAGGACCTTTGGAAGAGCAGGCAATGCTCTAAACCACTGAGCCAGCTCTCCAGCCCCTCCTGTCTGATTGTTTAAACCATAATTTAGCTCTTTCCCAGTCATTAGACAGTCTTTTTTCCTGTTTTCAGGTTCCCTCCCACCCCACCCCTAAGGTAGGGTCTCTTTTGTTCAAGGTTTAGCCTTGAGCTCACCAAGTAGTTAAGAGTGACCTTGACTACTTCCCACTGCTGAACTTTTTTGGTGCGTTACACCACACCCTGGTTTATGCAGTGCTGGGGATGGGGCTCAGGATTTTATGCAGGCTAGAAGAGCACTCTACTAACTGAGCTACATTCCCAACTCATGGTCCCCCCCCCTTTTTTTTTAAAGGCTTTAAAAATTATTTTTTTTATGCCTGGCAGTGGTGGTGAATGACATTTTACTCATAGCACAGAGACAGGCGGATCTCCGAGTCCAAGGCCAGCCTGGGTTACATAGTGAGTTACAGGACAGCCAGAATTACACAGAGAAACCCTGTCTCGAAAAAAAAAATCATTTAATGTGTGTATATGTCTTTGTGGGTTTGCGCATGTGCGTGCAGTGCCCTTGGAGACCAGAAGAGAGCATCTGATTCTCCAGAGCTGGAGTTCCTGTCCACCATCAGCCTCCTGATGTGGTGCTGGGATGCAAACTCAGGTTCTCTGCCAGAGCAGTACAAGCTCTTAACTGCTGAGCCTCTGCAGCCTGCCGTGGCTTTGCCTATGTAGTGTATAGTCAGAGTTGAACAAATGGACCTTGTCTTCTGTAGTGTGTGTGCGTTAGGAGTGCTGTCCTTTTACAGCTAGCGATATGGAGATTTAGAAAGAGAAGCAAAAGATACACAACAACCCAGCAATGGGCTTAGGAGGAGTGCTTGTTGGCTGGCTAGGAAGTGCAAGGTACAAGTTAAAGTGTTCGTTGACTTTGAAGCTTTCATTTTTCCTGTATCAAAGTTTAGTTTTTCAGAACATGAATTGATGACGTTTTAAGCATAGAAGAGTTTAGCAATTTTGTTCGTCATTTTGTTCGTAAGTTAAGTGTGTGGCAATGAATAGATACGGCTCACTTGTTTGTTTGTTCTGTTTTGGGGTGTTTATGTGTGCTTTTAAGGAAAGTGTCAATAGATCATTTTGTTCTGTTTATTCAGGATTCTGTTTTCCAAAGTGATTGTTTGCTTTCATTAAGTTGACTCAGCACATTAAGCACTCTTTACAGGTTAAATTTCAAATAGTAAGACAGCTTTAGTCCAGTAATGAATTACTTAAGGGACACTAAGTAACTGCCTACCTATAGCATAGATTCCATAGTCTTTAAAGTTCACTTAGGCCCAGGTTTGTAATCCTAGCATTTAGGATTAGCAGCAAGAGGAGGATCACAAGGTTAAGGGCAGCCCCAGCTCATAGCAAGTCCCAGGTCAGTCTGTTACACAGTGAGAGCCGATCTCAAAAATAAAGTAAAACCACAAACTCTGAGCTGAAGAGATCTATCCTCCACTTTGCAAATGCTGAGGTTACAATTGTGATTTCCAGTACCCAGTTTAAAAACAAACAAATGGCCTGGAGAGATGGCTCAGCACTAGCTGCTCTTGCAGAGGACCCAGGTTCAATTCCCGGCACCCACATGGTGGCTCACAACTGCCTGTAACTCCAGTTTCATTGGATCTAACACCTTCACGCAGACATACATGCAAGGAAAACATGAATGTAATGAAATAAAAATAAATAAATTTAAAAGACTTTATTTAAAAACCAACCAACCAAAGTTCTCACCTTATAGCCTGGGCTGCCTTTGAATTTCTAATCCTCCTTCCTTAACCTGACAGGTGCTGGTTTATACTGGGTGCCACTACACCTAGCTCCTTTGTTAACATAACTTTTATTGCATTTTAATTATCTATGAGTATATGTATGTCTCGGTGTACATGTGGGGGTCAGGACAACCTGTGGAAGTTAGTTCTTTTTTTCCACTCTGTGGGTCCCTGGGATTGAACTCAGATCATCAGGCTTGGTGGCGGGCTCCTTTACCTGCTAAGGCATCTCACTGAGGCCTTACTTGTTAAAAACTTTTTTAAAATTGAGTTCTCTTTATTTATGTATTGGGATACACATACTCCAGCACACCTGTGGAAGTCAGAGGACCACTTGTGGACTTAGTTCTTTTTCCACCATATGGGATCAAATTCAGGCTGTCAGGCTTGGCAGCAAGTGCCTTTACTCACTGAGCCATCTTGCCGGCCCGCTTGTTAAAGTTTCGCTATGGATATTTGCCTTATAGTTTGTCCAAGCATTCTCTCCATACACACACTTTATTCTGAACCATTTGACAGTTGCAGACATCATGTCATTATTTTACCCTTTTAAAAGTACTTTTTAAGCTGGGTGATGGTGTCACACGCCTTTCATCCTAGCACTCAGGAGGCAGAGGCAGGAGGATCTCTCTGAATTTGAGGCCAGCCTGCTCTACAGAGCTAGTTCCAGGCCAGTCAGGGCTATACAGAGAAAACTGTTGAAAACCAAAACCAACCAAACAAACAAAAAAGAACTTCCCTTGGGGCTGGAGATATGGCTGCATGGTTAAGCGCATTTACTGCACTTGTAGAGGACCTGGGTTCTATTTCCAGCACCCACATCAGATGGCCTACAGCTACCTATAACTTCAGCTTTAGGGGAATCTGATGCCCTTCTCTGGCCTTGGAAGGCACCTGAACACGTGCACATACACACATACACATAAATAAATAATAAGTCTTATAAAAAGAAATTTCCAAGATGTACAGCTCATGTAGGCCTTCATGGAAAAATGGTTAATTTACCCATTGACAAAAGATTTGGTTTTGGGGATTGCATTCTAAACACATGCTCTACCATTGAACTGTATCCTAGTCTCTCACTGGCTTTCTATTAGATGAAATTATTCCTAGAATATATTGGCATTTAATCTGCATAGCTGAGTAGCTGGGTCTTAAAATCAGCCAGATCTGGTGGTACACAACTACATTCTTAGCACTCAGATGCCTGCCTGAGGCAGGGGAATCATGAGTATAAAGGCCATAGTGAGATACTCCCTCCCCCCACCCCCCGAAAAAAAAAAAAAAAAAGAAATGGAAACTAGCCGGGTGGTGGCCGGGTGGTGGCCTAGGGCTTTGATCCCAGCTCTCGGAAGGCAGACAGGTGGATCTCTGTGAGTTCAAGGCCAGCCTGGTCTACAAAGTGAGTTCCAGGAATTAATTGGTTTCTGCCATCCAGAGTCTGCAAGATGCGATATCTGCCTCGTTCTCCTGATCCTCAAGCAGACTCATTAATGTCCCTGAGGGACTGCATAGGTTGGTGGTGGACTTCTTGCTTAATCTGTGTCGGACCCCCAGCTTGACCCCAGCTTGACCCCAGCTTGACCCAGCTCTCCATTTTTTCAAATTGTATGTGAAAGAGAATTCCCAGTTCTCTCCCTCTCTCTCATGCTAGAAAAGGCGGATGATGTTTGTTGGATTCTTACATCTGTTTCCTAGAGAGTGTTGGTGTGTGTTTGTGTTTGAGACAGGGTCTCCCCATGTAGCCAATGTCATCTTTCCCCATCCATCAGTGTTGTGCTTACAAGTATTCACCATCTTACCTCTGATTTTGTGTGTACAATATTGACTCAAGTAGTTGGGCAGTGACTTGGAATTTCTCAGTGCGTGACCACAGAGTGGTTTGTGATTTGGAAATAACATATAGCAGTGACGCTGGGAATGGACCCATTGCTATTCACCTTGAAGTGATCTATCACAGGCGCAGTGTTCCTCTGAGAGCAAGGGAACTGTAACTCAATTTCAACCAGTAGGAAGCCCTGTGGGCTCATTTCCTGATTCAATAGACATGATTTGATTTGTCTGTTTAGTTTTTTAAAAGACAGGCTCTCATTTAACTCAGTTTGGCCTCAAACTCCCTGTATAGCTGAGGATGACATTAGACTTCTGATACTTTTTCCTCTGATTACAGGCCACCGTGCCTGGTGTATTTGGTGCTAGATAGGAACCAAAGCCCTTGTCCTTGCTAGGCAAGCATTCTGCCAGCTGAGCTCTGCACTGTTTCTCTTGTGTTAGATTCTTTCTAAATATAATACCCTGCCTTGGGTTCAGTGTCCTTGGGATGAAGCAGGAGATGTGTGCAATTGTAGCATTTGCTGAATTACCAGGAGCATTTGACCAGGCGCTGCTCACCGATTTGATTTCTGTGCTGACATCACTGTGCTGTTGCCTTGTTGACCCGTGTTAGCTGTGGAAGAGCTCCGCTGTAATTGTTGACTGGGAAAAGCAGCCATCTCACGCCATGGTTTTGAAATTCTGTGCTGTCATTTTCACCGTGCAGGTCCACTCCGGGCGACAGACCGCACAGTGGTTCTTGTTGCCCGTGTGTCCGCTCCAGACTGCTCTATCTGGATTTTTAGATTCTGTTCTAGTTTCCCTTCACCTAGTCTACTCTCATTTTTCATAGTCATCATTATTTTCCAGTTCATGGAACTTCTTATTGTATGGCAAGTTACTTTACTCTCCGAGCCTGAGCTTTGTCATCTGAAAGTTGGAATCGTATTGATAGGCCCCTGCACTGGAGGGCTTTTAGTGAGAGTTGACATAATCTTTTTTTTAAAATTTATTTTATGCTCATAGGTGTTTTGTCTACATGTATGTCTGTATACCATGTGCATGCCTGGTGTCTTTGGAGGTCAGAAGAGGGCTAATTCCCTCATGATTGGAGTTACAAATGATTGTGAACCACCATGTGGATGCCATGAATCAAGCCCAGGTCTTGTGAAAGAGCAGCTAGCTAGTGCTCCTAATCATTGAGCCATCTCTTCAGTCTGAAATCTTTTTTAAATACTGGCCTCCATTCGTGGAGGTTCTAATCCTCAAATCTGCCATCTTACTTCACCAGAATGGAAAATCTTCATGAAATAAGACATTTAGCCTCACAGACGAAAGTAATGATAATCACATTTTCTAAGCACTTGCAATGTTCTACCTATATCTTTACATTTAATCCTGTATATAATCTTACAAAGGTGTATAACATTTAATCCTGTATATAATCTTAGAGAGGTGTATAGTATAATTTCCATGTTGTAAATGTGAAAATTTAATTGTAGAGATGAAATCACTTTAGAAAATACACACAGCCAATGACAGACATAATGGGGTTTAGAATCAGGTTATACTTCATATATATATATATATATATACACACATTTATATATGTATATATATAAATGAAGTGTATACATATATATAAATGATTTATGTGTGTATATATACATATATAAATATATTTATATGTATGTATGTCTGCTTGCTTGTCTGTGTACCATGTGAGTGCATGTGCCCTTGGAACCTGGAAGAGGGTATTGGAACAGGTCACAGGCAGTTGTGAGCTGTCTGATGTAAGTGCTAGAAACTGGACTGTACAAGAGCAGGAAGAGCTCCTAACCACTGAGCCATCGCTCCATTGTCCATGCTACACTAGATTGTTCCCATATCTTGTTTTAGCTGTGGTAAGCTTGGGGAGAAATTGGTCCAATAAAATCTACATCTTAACTTGGCAGTGAGGAAATCAGAACCTCAGCATGTCTGGTTTCAGTTGTCTTTAATTGTCATAGCATGCTGACTCTGGGCTGCTCAAAGCAATACGCCCTCTGCTGTCACGGTATGGGATGGGCCAGTTGTGATCTGAGTCGTTACTGATATATTTTGATATGATAGTGTGGAGTGGATCAGTTGTCATTTTGTGCCATAGCTGTGTTCATACAGGAGCAGTAACAGGTTGCTTATCAGTTATGCAGGGGAAAAACCAGGCTTTTAGCAACTAAATATGTGATGTTTCTGTGACTTTCATCGCATCCTTGACCCTTGCTGGGGTTTCTAGTGACAGTGTTTGTGCTAAAAGTACATAGGCCATTTCTGTCAACATGGAGGACTCAGGTTGCATGTAAGTTGTATGTCCAATATAGATATAATCTACATGGGAATAGAAAGTATAAAAAGACAAGATCTCCTGAGTAAATTGGGAACATGGGGACCTTGGGGGAGGGTTGAAGGGGGAGGGGAGAGGCAGGGAGGGGAGCAGAGAAAAATGTAGAGCTCAATAAATATCAAAAAAAAATATATAAAAAAAGGAAAGCCTTGGGACTGGAGAGATAGCTCAGTGGTTAAGAATGCTTGCTACATAATGAGAACCAGAATTTAGATCTCAGCACTCATGTGACAAGTCTAGGTATCCTGCAAACATCTGTAACTCCAGCTTTGAGGGGGTCAGTGCCTTCTGTGCACACAGGCATGCAAATCTACATACCCATGTAGAACATTCTTAGCTCTCATAGGCATACACACACACATAAGTAAATAAATATTGAAAGGAAAATTGTTTCTACCTGAAATTTGCTGATGCTGGACTAGCTAACCCAGTCAGGGCTCGCTAACCCAGGCAGGACTTAAGGCATTTCTAGTGTTAGATTGTTCTCGGTTCCTGAACTAGCTAGCTGGACCTCGACTAAAGGGATTATTTTCTAGACACTTGAGACCTTGTAATGGATGTGGATTGACATGGCTCACTGTTCCTTTGCAGGAAGGACGCGAACGCGGCACTGCTCAGTAACTATGAGGTAAGGGCTCTCACGGGCTGCTGTATTTCCCTCTTTTGGTTTTGTCTTTGCTTGTGAAGATGTTGGGTTAGTTTTCTTTTTGTTTTTTCTGAGATAGGGTTTCTCTGTAGCTTTGATGCCTGTTCTGAACTAGCTCTTTGTAGAACAGGCTGACCTCAAACTCTTGGAGATCCACTTGCCTCTGCCTCCCAAGTGCTGGGATTAAAGGTGTGCGCAGTCACTGCCTGGTTTAAAGAAAGATTAGTTTTCTTTAGAAATGACAACTCATTTGAAGTTTCCACTTTAACACAGGGTAGGTGGCCCCGGGCGGACTTTGGAATGGTCTGAGTTTTGTGAATTATGAATGGTTCCTTAGAGAAGCGGGGAGGCTCTGGTTCATAAGTGCCCTTCTGTAAATCCCAGGGTCTGTCGCTGGATTAGACAGGAGGAAGAGCTGCTGCTGTAGAGCCACTGCTTTCTATCAAAATCTTAGTCACTTTTAGTCCCAGCACTTCGGAGGCAGAGGCAGGTGGATCTCTGCGAGTTCAAGGCCAGCCTGGTCTACAAGAGCTAGTTCTAGGACAGGAACCAAAGCTACAGAGAAACAAAAGAAAAAAAAATCTTAGTTCTTTCCTGATTACCATCCTTTATTTCATTTGGATCTTCAAAGGGCCTCAGAGATTGATACCCTCATTTTGAGACTGAGTTGACTATTTTGAGTAATTTAGTAAGAGTGAGCAGCTTTATAATTCGGACTGATGGAGACAAAGAGGAAAGAAGTTGCTGAGAAAGGAGATCCTAGTATTTTTACTGCCTTCTGCTTTGCCTGGGTCTAGTTTGGTCCTGGCAAAGCAGTCTGGTGGGACAGCTCCAGGTGCAGAAGAGCCTGAGTATAAATTCCCTATCAGTGTCCATGTCACAGTGAAACCCAAAGTCTCGGGGGATCTGGGTCTCCATTCTGGGCTACGTGTGTGTAGAATCAACTCACTCTGCCATGTTGCTTACTAAAGACCCGCCTAAGTGGTTGTGGCTTAGCCTCGGGAAGGAACTATTCGTTGATTTTTAGGAACTACTTTGTACTGATTGGCCTTTGCTCAGTATTTGGGTGTTTGTTTCTTTGGGGAAACATGTTCATTAGGTCTCACACTACCGGTTTCCAGAGGTGGTAGGGTTGGGGGACTATTGGAAGTGGGTGTTACACACCTGCTAGCTTGTATTTTCCTCAGATCTCTGGTAGAATCTCAGAAACAGGAGTAAAGTCCCAATCACCTCCAGCCCGGCACTGATGTGTATGTGTTTTTCCTTTTCAGGGAAAGTTTTCTTCTAAGAATCATAGCGGGGGCTGGAGAGATGGCTCAGAGGTTAAGAGCACTGGCTGCTCTTCCAGAGGTCCTGAGTTCAATTCCCAGCAACCACATGGTGGCTCACAACCATCTGTACTGAGATCTGGCGCTCTCCTCTGGCGTGCAGGCATACATTGAGGCAGAATGTTGTATACATAATAAATAAATAAATCTTTAAAAAAAAAAGAATCATAGCGTTTCCCCTTTGTTTTTCTCAGCATACTGGGGACCCAGGGATTTTGTCATATTAGGCAAATCGTTGCCACTGACCAATATTCTCAGCTCTTTTTTTTTCTTTTGATGCTGTGTTTTATCATTTGTCTCATGCTCTTTCTGTTATAGAAAGAAATTATTATACTAGACTTGTATATTAAGCAGAGCCCTCTTAAAATATTTAGGAAAATCTACTTTCAAATAGTTATAATAGCTTGAGATAAGAAGGGATTAATGATGTATGTTTTTAATTTTTACATTAGATCTTATTTGTGTGATATGTATCTACATGGACATGGAGAACAGAGAACTTGTGGAAGTTGTTTTCTCCTTCTGCCGTGTGGGTCCAGAGATGGAACTCAGGTTGCCGTGTTTGGCAGCAAGTGCCTTTACCAGCTGAGCTGTCTCCCTGGCCTGTGATAGATGGCTTTGTTTGTTTTTTCGAGAGCTGTGGCTTTGGAGCCTGACCTGGAAATAGCTCTTATAGACCAGGCTGGCCTTGAAACTCACAGAGATCCACCTGGCTCTGTCTCCTGAGTGCTGGGATTAAAGGCGTGAACCACCACTGCTTGGCTACACATTTTTTAAATTAGTGTTCACAGTTATTATTTTAAGGGTTTTATTTTTAATTTCTAACGTGTGTGTTTGTGTGGGGGTATGTACATGTAAATATTGTGCCCCTAGAGGCCAGGCTAGGCCATCCCCTCGACCTGGAGTTACAGGTAATTGTGAGCTGGCCGATGGTCCTCTGCAAGAATAGCAAGTGCTCTTAGTCTCTGAGCTTTCTCTACAATATTTTAAATAATGGATGCTCACACCTTTGATCCCAGCACTCGGGAGTTAGAGGCCAACCTGGTCTACAGAGCAAGTTCAAGGACAGACTCCAAAGCTACACAAAAACTCTGTCTCGAAAAACCAATAGGTAGGTAGGTAGGTAGGTAGGTAGATAGATAGATAGATAGATAGATAGCTAAAGGAGACTTTGAATTGGTTTAGCTAAGAGAGCATCTGAAATATGCTGCACAATTCTAGGATGAACTACTTGATCTAAACCTGCTTGTGGGAAGTAGGTTTGTGGGAAGAAAGTGACATAACTTGACTGTCTTTTAGAACCTTGGAGAAACACATCGCTCAGCTTCACTGACAATATCTTTTGTGTCTCTTCCTAGGTGTACCAGCTGCTGACAGATCTCAAGGAGCAGCGGAAGGAAAGTGGGAAGAACAAACACAGTGCCGGGCAGCAGAACCTGAACGCCATCACCTACGAGGTGAGCCCAGCTGCTCAGAGCCTTCAGGGCCTCTCCAGTGGTGAGGGTGGGAGGAATGGGGATATTTGCCAGTAAGTGAGACAGAATAAAATGTCCTGAATAAAGTGCGTATTTGGGGTCCCCACAAAACGACCCTCAGATGCTCCCGGTCATCTGGCTGGGAGCCTTTTGCTCTCTCTGGATGAGAGTTGTGATAGGTGGGAAGCTCTGGGTCTGTTTCCTTGGAGGTGATAGCAGCTGGCCTATAGGAGATGCTGTGGATGGCGCCCTCTAGTGTTATAACCTCATGCAGGCTTTTGATAGTGCGACTTTGTGTTCCAGTTCTTGGGTAGGCCTAGGAAGTCAGGCAGCAGTTGACATGGTAGCTTCCCAGCAGCCCTTGGTAGTACCAGTATTATACTTTGCAGGCCTGGGGTGCCTGACAACTTTGGTCTTAAACACTTGATAGCTCTCTGGAACTCTTCCATCTGTTCTGAGATAGGATCTCAGGCTTCTTATGTAGCCCAGGATGATTTTGAACTCCCGATCCTCCTGCTTCTACTTCCCAGGTGCAGGGATTACACAGGCAAATGCTGCTACATCCCTGCCTGTTCTCTGACTCTCTACAGCCTCAGGCCTCCACCCACTCTTCATCACCATCCCTCCTGGTCCTTCCCTGCCTGCTTTGGGAGGCAGCTGCCAGCCTTGAAGCTCTGTGTCATCTTCAGTTGTCAGAGCAGGCTGCCCACGCCACCTTTGTTGTTGGCTGGTCAGCCGCTCAGCTTTGCCTCTCTGCTGCTCCACTGCCACCGTCTTTGCTGCTCCCTCACTGTCTGTGTTGCTTCTTCATGTTGCCCGAGCAGCTTGCTGTGCTAGACACGGGACAGGAAAAACCGCTGACGGAGAAATCAGCTGAGAGAAGCATTTTACTGGGCCTGTGGCGACATCAGGGAAGGGCTGCAGTACGGAGGGTGAGGGTGTCTTCTAGCCATCTCACCAGTGAACTGACCCCTACTTAGTCACAGAAGGGCTGTGTCAGTCCAGGTTCTCTTAGAGGGATGGAATTCATGGGGTAAAACTATCTATGTTACACACACAAACATTGAGTCAGGTTTAAAATAGTAACACCAGTAGACCCGAGAGCTAAGAACCCTGTAGTTTCTTGGTCCTTGAGACTCAGTGCCTCAGCAGTCAGAATATTTCCACAACAGCTGGCTCTCAGTTGGGGTGGGAGCAACTGGTAGTTAGTTTCCTGGGGAACTGCTGGTCTCTAGTCCACGACGAAAGCTTAGAAACACTGGTCCTGATACCAGTGTGGGAATCAGCAACAGGGCAGGTTAACTCAGTAGAGGGAGGCCATGTGAACGGGCAAGGTGACCCTCCTTCTGGACTACCAGCAGAAAGTGTGGCTCACAACACGAGTGGGACCCCACATCAATCAAGGCAATCAGGACACTTCTTTAGGAGAGGCTTCCTACTCAGGTGGTTCTAGTTTGTGGCAAGTTGACATGGAGACCAACCATGATAAGGGGTGTTGGTAGTGACCACAGAGGACCTCACATGCAGATAAAGTCTATGTTTGCTCCAGTCATAGCCTCGTCTCTCTCACACAAGTCATACAGACCCCTGCGAGGCCATCAAGGAAATGCTCTTCCTCTGGCTTACATGGAAATGTTTGCAGGATCATCTAGAGTTCATTGTGGTTTGTGATAACAACAGTAAAAATCCAGTAGAGACTGTTCAAAACAGTCCTTTCTGTTCAGGAGCCACAACACAGTGATTGTTATGCCATTCCCCAAGGTGTCTAGGAAGCTATCCAAATGGCTGTCTAACATGGTGTCCACTGACTTACAGTCCTTTAACTCAGGAAGGGAGAGCTCAGTGAGGGGTAAGATTGTCTGGTGCCGCAGGGTCTTGGCTCATGTAGGAAAGGGACAGCAGAGTCCGTGCTTAACGAAGAGAACAGAATAACACTGATGATGTGTAACAGTGGTAGCACAGCTTAGCTCCTGTTATCTGTCTCAGGACTGAAGCTATTACAGTCACAGTGACAGCTTGCTACAAGGAAAGGATTCAGATTAAAATTAGCCAAGAGAATAAAAAAATAGGGGAATATCCAAGTCATAGTTTCCACTGTCCTCACACATGGACTTGAGTTACTACTTTTCTAAAGTCGGTCTGTGGCCGTAGCATGGAATGTTGCCAGCAGGGAAGCTCTGCTGGGTCGTGATGTACACTGGTCTTATGCTATCTAACCCTTGCTCTGAAACTGTAGAGGTGTGGCCAGCCCCTAAGTTAGGCTGATAAGCAGAATTACCCAGGGGCCCAGGCATAACATTCCAGGGACCTGGAAATCTCCACCTACAAATCTAGGACAAAGGCTAGAACTGTTCTTTGTGCAAGGCCAAATTAATTTTTTTCCCTTTTCTTCAGTTTTTTGAGGCAGGGTCTCACTGTGTAACCTTGGTTGACCTAGAACTCACATGCCAGGGTGGTTTGGAACTCAAGAGATCTGCTTGCCTCTTCCTCTTTAGTGCTGGGTTTAAAGGCATATAAAAAGAAAGCAAAATTAATTCATAAGGTTGTTCTTCCTAACCTGTTTGGGAATTGAATGGAAACAGCAAGCAAGTATTACATTAGAATGTTGTATAAACTGCAGCTCATCATAGCCTAAAGACAGGTCATCATCAACAACAACAACAAAACTCCCCAAGTGTTGGGCTAGAACTCTTGAGTACTTTGGGGTTGGAGTGATGGCTCAGCAGTCAGAAGTGCTTATTGCTCCTGAGTTTGACTTTAGCACCTGCACTGGGCAGCTCGCAGCCACCTGTAACCAACTCCAGTGTCGGGATCAGTATTTCTTTCCTCTGCCCCTGCTCTTTTATATACATACTCGCACATGCGCACACATAAACATAATTTAAAAATAAAAATAACTCTTAAAAATCTGAAAATTTTAGAATATTAAATTATAACACTGCTTTCCTTTTTTCTTATTCAGAACTATTTTTTCTTTTTTTTTATTTTAAATTTATTTATTTATTAAGGATTTCTGCCTCCTCCCCGCCACCGCCTCCCATTTCCCTCCCCCTCCCCCATCAAGTCCCTCTCCCTCATCAGCTTGAAGAGCAATCAGGGTTCCCTGACCTGTGGGAAGTCCAAGGACTGCCCACCTCCATCCAGGTTTAGTAAGGTAAGCATCCAAACTGCCTAGGCTCCCCCAAAGCCAGTACGTGCAGTAGGATCAAAAACCCATTGCCATTGTTCTTGAGTTCTCAGTATTCCTCATTGTCCGCTATGTTCAGCAAGTCCGGTTTTATCCCATGCTTTTTCAGACCCAGGCCAGCTGGCCTTGGGTGGATTTTATGTATTTGAGTATTTTGCTTGCATGTATGTCTATGTACCACGTGCATGCCTATTTGCCTGTGGAGGTCAGAGAAGGGTGTCAGTTCTTTGGAACTGGATAGTTGGGAGCCACAGTGTGAATACTAGGAATTGAACCTGAATCCTCTGCAAGAGCAGTGTGTGCTCTTAACCACTAAGCCATCTCTCCAGCCCCTTATTCAAATTCCTGTATCCTGGGGCTCCAAATGGCTCAGTGGTTTTGAGCACATATTGCTCTTGTAGAGAGTCCACGTTGATTCCCCAGCACTCATGCTGAGTGACTCAGTTGTTTGGAACTCTGGTTTTAGGAGGTTCTGAAGCCTTTCACCTCCACAGATACCTGTATTCAAAGGCATACCCACATAGAATCACATAATTAAAAATAAAAATAGATCTTTAAAAAACCCTCACATTGGGGCTGGAGAGATGGCTCAGTGGTTAAGAGCACTGGCTGTCCTACAAGAGGACCTGGGTTCGATTCCAGGCACCCATATGGCAGCTCACGGCTGTCTGTGGCTTCAGTTTCAGGGGATCCAACACTCTCCCACAGGCATACATTCAGGCAAAACACCAATGCCCATGAAATAAATAGAAAAAAAAAAAAAACCTCACATTTTTTTCCTTTTTTTATTGATATTTATTGAGCTCTACATTTTTCTCTGCTCCCCTCCCCACCACTCCCTTCCCCCCTTTTCCTTACCCATTGTTTGATCGAGGGACATTTAGGTTGTTTCCAGGTTCTGGCTATGACAAACAAAGCTGCTCTGAACATAGTTGAGCACATGTCCTTGTGGCACAATTGAACATCCTTTGGATATATGCCCAAAAGTGATATTACTGGGTCTTGAGGGAGGTTGTTTCCTAATTTTCTGAGAAATTGTCACACTGACATCTAAAGGGGTTGTACCAGCTTGCACTCCCACCAGCAATGCAGAAGTGTTCCATTTACCCCACAACCTCTCCAGCATAAGTTGTCATCAGTGTTTTTGATCTTGGCCATTCTTTTTTTTCTTTTGGATTTTTTTGAGACAGGCTTTCTCTGCAGCTTTTTGGTTCCTGTCCTGGAACTAGCTCTTGTAGACCAGGCTGACCTTGAACTCACAGAGATCCGCCTGCATCTGCCTCCCGAGTGCTGGGATTAAGGGCGTGCGCCACCACTGCCCGGTCAATCTTGGCCATTTTTACAGGTCTAAGATGGAATCTTAGAGTTGTTTTGATTTGCATTTCTCTGATGACTAAGGATGTTGAACATTTCCTTAAGTGTCTTTCAGCCATTTTAGATTCCTCTGTTGATAGTTCTCTGTTTAGGTCTGTACTCCATTTTTTTTTTTATTGGATTATGTGTTCTTTTGGTGTCCAATTTCTTGAGTTCTTTGTATATTTTGGAGATCAGACCTCTGTCTGATGTGAGGTTAGTGAAGATCTTTTCCCATTCTGTAGGCTATTGTTTTGTTTTGCTGACTGTGTCCTTTGCTTTACAGAAGCTTTTCAGTTTCAGGAGGTCCCATTTATTAATTGTTTCTCCCAGTGTCTGTGCTGCTGGAGTTATATTTAGGAAGTGATCTCCTTTGCCAATGCATTCAAGTGTACTTCCCACTTTCTCTTCTATAAGGTTCAGTGTGGCTGGCTTTATGTTGAGGTCTTTGATCCATTTGAACCTGAGTTTTGTGCATCGTGATAGATATGGGTCTGTTTTCATTCTTCTACATGTTGATATCCAGTTGAATATGCTTTCTTTTTTCTATTTGATATTTTTTGCTTCTTTATCAAAGATCAGGTGTTTGAAGATGTGTGGATTGATATCCGGGTCTTCTATTTGGTTCCATTGGTCCTCCTGTCTGTTCTTATGCCAATACCTGGCTGTTTTCAGTACTGTAGCTCAGTAGCAAAGTTTGAAGTCAGGGATTGTGATGCCTCCAGAAGTTCTTTTGTTGCACAGGATTGTTTTGGCTATCCTGGGTTTTTTGCTTTTCCGAATGATGTTGAGTATTGTTCTTTCGAGGTCTTTGAAGAATTTTGCTGGGATTTTGATGGGCAAAAACCCTCAAAATATTTATATCTTATGTTTGGCTTTATTTTGTGTATTTATTTTTTAGACATTAAAATACATATCAAAAACGCCATGCAGGAACCAGAGTCCTGCGATTGTTCAAGAATTCCTCACAGCAATGAAAAGCCACAAGCTGACCAAGTAAGTTATCCTCAGTAGGCAACAGGTAACACAAAATGCAGTGAGAATAATGCCTTAGAATAGTTTCTTACAACAGCTGCATCTTCATTCAGTCACACTTTGGCCTCATAATTGCACATGGAACTGTTTTTTCTTGTTTTGGGTTTTTTGTCCCCCCCCCCTTTTTTTTTAAGATGGGGTTTCTCTGTAGCCCTGGCTTTCCTGGAACTCACTCTGTAGACCAGGCTGGCCACAGAGATTCAGAGATGCCTCTGCCTCCTGATGCTGGGATTAAGGGCGGACACATTATTGTTTTAAAGTGGGATGATGGTATTGTGAGAAAAGACAACTGAAAATTAGACACATGGCCTTAAAGAGCCACTGCGTCCTTATCCGAGTCTTTCCTTAGTGTTCATAAAGCTCTTTGCTGCCTGTCAGTGTAGCCAAATGAGATTGAAAGTAGGATTCAGTTGAGTTGCAAGTGTAGCTCAGTGCTCATCTTTACCTTGCATGCTAGCATGTGTGAGGGTTTCATCCCCAGAACTATTGGAGGTTTGGGGTTGCAGGGAAGGGGAAGGAAGGCAGGCAAAAAAAGAGAAAACAATACAAACAAAGACAATGGAAGTTCTTTTTATAAGATAAATGAACAAAGTTACCTGGTGTTGTATTTGCTTGAGGTAGAAGTGGCTTGACTATAGTCTGCCTGCATCTCAGATGCCTCCCGGCAGCTTTTTTTGGCCTTTAATATATATGTGAGTTCAGTTTACAAAAGCTAAAAACACAGGTTAAGGGTTTACATTAGGAGACAACCAGTCCATGTCTTTTAGGATTAGTGTTAATGTTGATAACTTCCAAAAGCTGCTTCGTAAATTTTTGTTTGTTTGGGTTTTTTTTGTTTTGTTTTTTGGGTTTTTTTGTTTTGTTTTTTTGGTGTTTGTTGATACTAACCCAGGCCTCGGCACATGCTAGGTGGTATTGTTGAACACTGATCCAGCCCTGCAGTTGCTTTTGTTACTGTGTTCGGGATGATGATTGCTACACTTCTCCACCTCTGTACTTTATTTTATTTTTTTTTTAAACTTTTTTTTTTACTTATTTATTTAACTTTATTATGTTTGTTGGTGTGAAGGTGTCAGATCTCATGGAACTGCATTTTTCAGACAGTTGTGAGCTGCCATGTGGGTGCTGGGAATCGAACCCGGGTCCTCTGGAAGAGCAGTCAGTGCTCTTAACCGCTGAGCCATCTCTCCAGCCCCTCCACCTCTGTACTTTAGGTGAACACTGGAGACAAACCTCTTTTAAACTCTGTGTGTGTGTATGTGTGTGTGTGTGCATGTGTGTGTGTGTATGTGTGTGTGTGCGCGTGTGTGTACGTGTGTGTGTGTGTGTGTGTGTGTGTGTGTGTAGTTGCGCTTGGAGGCCAGATGAAGACATCAGATCCTCTGGAGCTGGAGTTACAGTTGTTTGTGAGCTTCCTAATGTGGGTGCTAAGATCTCAACTCTGGACTTTGGAAGGGTAGCCATTGCTCTTAACCACTGAGCCATCTCTCCAGTTCCCCTTCCACTGTCTGCACACGGTTATGAATGACTTTTTTGCTAGACCCGCTGGTCGTCCATTCAGTTCAACACTTTCCTTTTTGTGTTGTGATAATAGCTCACACCTTTGATATTCTAAGGTCTGAGTTAGCATGAGTTTACTATCTGTTCTTTTCCTCTGAAAATAAGTCATATTTTCCTGGTTGAAATAACTTTATGAATTGTATTCTGGGCCTTTTGATGATTCAGATAGTTTAGACTGGCAATTCTGTTTTTACAAGCCTCTGTTAATGCTGCCCCTTTGTTATGTAGTGTGTAGCCAAATTTACTGGGGTTTTTCATTGTCATCAATGGGAATTGGCCTTAAAAGCATAATTGCTCTTTAAATTCTTTAAATTAATTAATTAATTAATTAATTTGCTTTTTTGGGGTTTGTTTTGTATTTTGAGACTTGGTTTCTTTGTGTGGCCTTGGAACTCTCTCCGTAGACTAGGCTGGCTTTGAACTCACAGAGATTGTCCTGCCTCTGCCTTTTGAGTTCTGGGATTAAAGGTGCCGCCACCACCCAGTAAAATGTATTACTGGAATTTTTGTGGTATTAATGTTTTGCCCACATGCATATGTGTATGTATGTGCATCACGTGTGCCTGTTGGGTCCCCTGGAACTGGAGTTATAGTGTGTTGGGAACCACCATGAGGATGCTGGGAATCAAGCCAGAGTCCCCTGTAAGAGCAGCCAGTTCTCTTACCTGCTGAACCATCTCTCCAGCCCCTTAAAATTATTTTTAATTGTGTGTGTGTGTGTGTGTGTGTGTCTGCGTGTCTGCATGTGGATAAGTTCAGGTGAGTGCAGATGCCTGAGGATGGCAGAAGCTTGGGATCCTCTGTAGCTGGAGTTATAGATGGTTGTAAGATACCTGACATGAGTGATGGGAACTGAATCCAGGTCCTCTGCAAGAGCAGTACACTCTCTTAACCTCTGAGCCATCACGCCAGCCCCATGTGACAGAAATCTTTTTTTTTTTTAATTTATTTATACAATATCCTGCCTGTAGGCCAGAAGAGGGCACCAGATCTCATTATAGGTGGTTGTGAGCCACCATGTGGTTGCTGGGAATTGAACTCAGGGCCTCTGGAAGAGCAGTCAGTGCTCTTAACCGCTGAGCCATCTCTCCAGCCCTGTACAGAAATCTTAATGACTGATTTTTCAAGTCCTTTTGCAAGTGTTTGTCTATTTGGATGTAGTCCCTGCATCTTTTCCATGGTGGAGAACTTGCTTAGCATGGCTAAGGTTCTGAGTTATATCACCAGTGTTGGCGAAAGAAAGAAAGAAAGAAAGAAAGAAAGAAAGAGGGGGCTGGAGAGATAGCTCAGTGGTTAAGAGCATTGCCTGCTCTTCCAAAGGTCCTGAGTTCAATTCCCAGCAACCACATGGTGGCTCACAACCATCTGTAATGAGGTCTGGTGCCCTCTTCTGGCCCGCAGGCATACACACAGACAGAACATTTGTATACATAATAAATAAATAAATATTTAAAAAAAAAAGAAAGAAAGAAAGAAAAGAAGAGGGAACTGGTTGGAGAAAGGGAGGAAGAGAGAGAAAAAAACCTATAAAATAGGAATCGCTTTGCAAATTGTTTCAGACTTGGTGGAATACACATTAACTTAAAGCCCACTTCAGTAGAGAATTAGCTGGCTCCCTTTCCAATTGTGGTCTTCAAACTAATCATTTATAACGTCTCATATAGCCTTTTACATCTTTACCTCTTGGTTTTACGACTGCCTGGGCAAAAGCTCCTGACGTGCTGCACAGTGGCCAGTAGAGGGATCCAGCAAGCTTCTTGCTCTGTAGCTGACTTCTGCCTCTTTGCCTGCATGACTGATGAAGGGGCGACTTGCCAGATAAGACGGTGGCCAGCCTTGCTAACCAAGGAATCATGTTACAAACTGTGTTTAACATCTCCTTTCAATCTTATATTTGATCTTGAAGTCACCTTCTTTCTGTTGTGCTTGGGGAGCCATTCATTATTTTGCTAAGATATCTTTACTGGAGTCCTTGAGGGTAGGCTAGGGGTTGTGTTTGTGTGACTTCGCAGACTTCATCAACAAAATAATACAGTTGGAATTCAACTTCAAGTCACTGATACCATGTGTTATGTAATTTTTTGTTTAGTGTGTTACCCCACTCTCCACCAAAATTGATTCTTTAATAGTTTAGATTTGGCCTGATCTCTATTTCTCAGTGCCTAACTAGCAGCCCCTGCTCCTATCCTGAGATCACCCTTTAAGGCACACAGCTGTGGAGAGGGACACTGGTCCTCACAGGCCAGCTCAGTTAGGTCTGCAGGAATTCTGCCAGTCTTCTCTCCTGCACACACATTACTCCAGGGGTTTGACGTGGACCTCAGACCAGCAGAGCTCAAGTGTAGATGATGGGTTCTCAGGTTTCCCTGGTGGTCTTACCTGGTCTGCTCTCAGAACATCAACTCCTGCTTCCTGTCTCCTCGGAATCGCCACAAGCTTCTGCTCGAAGTCGAGGCTTCCCTAGCCCTTCCTTCCGCTCACCCTTCAGACTGCATTTGTATAATGCCAGCTCTGTCTCTCTCAGTGCTATGATGGGGGGACACAGTGGAGAGGCGCGCAAGTGTCGGTTTTAGGGTTCTATTATGTTTGTAAGAGGCGATGATAAGAGAGAGGAAGTCTCCAGATTCAGGTGAGGAATACCATTTGCTAGGCAAGGCACAGAGTTGGGAATCGGCCTGAGGCTGTGCTGTATCGTGTCTACAGCTTGGCTGGATCACTGAGTGAAAGTGGAACCATATGGAGATAGACTGCTCAAGAGCAGAGGTCACAGGGTTCTTGGGGGTGAGCTAGAGAAACTCAAACTGATTCCAAAACCTTTGGGAGGATCATGGCTGAAAAGGTAGGCCAGTGATTAAGAGCATTTTGTTGTTCTTGCTGAAGACCTGGGTTCAGTTCCCAGCACCCAGAGGATCCCGCACCTTCTGGTCTTCCTGGGAATGGCATGTGTGTATTATTTGCACTGCCTGGCATCTGTGGAGGGCAGAAGATGGTGTCAGATCCTCTGAAGCAGGAGTTATGGAAAGTTGTTGGCCTTCATGTGGGCGCTGGGAACCAAACTTGGGTCCTCTGTAAAAGCTCTTAGTTACTGAGCCATTTTTCCTGTCACAAGATCTCAGTCTTTTATTTACTTATTTATTTATTTATTTATTTATGTATGTATTTATTTTGGTTTTTCAAGACAGGGTTTCTCTGTGGCTTTGGAGCCTGTCCTGGAACTAGCTCTGTAGACCAGGCTGGTCTCGAACTCACAGAGATCCGCCTGCCTCTGCCTCCCGAGTGTTGGAATTAAAGGCGTGCGACACCATCGCCCGGCTAGATCTCTGTCTTTTAAAAGGTGTTTGCTTGTAAGAGGAAAGTATACTGTCCTGTAACCGAGCGGGTGGAGGGATTTAAGGTAATGGTGAGGAGGGCACAAGCACCTTCAAAGAATCATAAGTACCTGGGAACTGAGTGTTGGCATGGGTTAGAAAAAGTATGGAGTGGCTGCCAGATTTCTGACCTTAGGCTCTTTCGTCTTCGAGAGAGAAGTACAGGGAGGAGCTAGTTTTTGGAAAGTAGTCACAGTTCCATCAGATGTGTTGGTTTCGAAGCATCTGGAATGTCTACGTGGAGATGTGTGGGAGACACTTGGCTACAAAGGTCTGGAGCTCAGCTCACATATCTTGGAAACATGAATTTTTCCAGCAGAACCTGTAGTAGCTATGGAGATTGTGCATTTTGTATGAGGAAGTCGGTAAGAGGCTTGGAGGGAAAAGGTGACGGTGTGGAGTGCTAGGGCCAGACAAGGGAAGAGAACTTGACACACGAAGAAGGAATAGTCAGCGAAGGGCCAGACAAGAAAGAGGGACACTGTGGAATCCATAGGGTGACCTTCTAAAGGAAGTAGTGGCTGGCAGTGGCAGAGCAGAGGCAGGGTAGGGTATCTGCCAGGATGCCTTGGTTTATGTAGTGTTGGCAATGGAACTCAGGTGAGAACCCTAGCAAACTAAGCCACATCCCTCAGTTTTGCCCAGAAAATTCTCAGGGCTCAATGCAAAGTCTTTTTCACCTCCCACCTCTCCTCCCTTTGTTTCTTTTCATCTTTCTTCTCCCTCCTCCTCCCTTTCCATCCTGCTTGAGATTGAACACAAGGCCTCCTGCAGACGAGGCCAATGCTCCACTGCTGTGAAATCTCATTTGAGGAAATGATTGGTAAACGTTTCAGGGGATTTGAGGATAGAGCTTGACCACGTGCGCTGTAACGGTGCCTGAATGACTGGAGCTGTGGTGGGGCTGTCGTCATGGTGATGCTTCTGCTAGAAGCATATGGCCAGTGTGAGCGCTGGCGGCTGAGTCCCTATCTTGACTGCTGGGAACTGTGGACAGGTTACTTCCTATCTCCTTGTCACTTAAACATCTTCCTCCTTTGGCAGCAAATGGAAAACAGGCAGTAAGTGGTGGTAGCGGCCACTTCAGATACGAGAATGTCACCTCTCATAGCCCTCATGAGCTCTAAGTGCTACTCTTTAGTTTTTTTACATACATGGACCTGAGGTTTGGGGAGGTACTTACCTCACACTGCTTCTCAAACAGTAGGCAGCTTTGGCTTTGCATCTTTATCCAGAGTGTCTTTAAACTCCATTTGTGTCGGACAGACCTAAAGGATGAGTGTGAAACTCTAGAGTCAGACCCAGGAAGAAATGTAGAACTTACCACTTGTGTGGGGATGGCGAAGGTAGGGTCATTCCTCTCCCCTTGAAGTCTTGTCACTGGAGCTGGAGAGATGGCTCAATGGTTAGTAGCGCTTGTTGCCCTTGGCGTTTGGTTCCCAACACTCACACGGAGGCTCAAAACTGTTTATAATTCCAGTTCATGGGATTTGATGCCCTCCTTTGGTCTCCATATGTGGTATACATAATATTCTTGCAGACAAATCCTCATACATGAAGTAAAATTAATCTTTGAAGTCCTGTCACCTTTTAACCTCTTCAACTGTGGGCTGTGTATCTCTTGTGATAATTGCTACTGGGTATGGTGACCTATAATCCTGTTGGGAGGTGGAGGCAGGAAGATCAGGTATTAAAGTATCCTTGGCCTCATACCAAGTTTGAGGTCATATGGTAATTACTATCTTCAACTGTTACTTAGCCCAGGCTGGCTCAACTTTGATATCCTATCTCAGCTTCCCCAGTTCTGAGATAACAGGCCTGAGCCATCATGCCTGGCTTCTTTTAATTTACTAAGATAATTCAAACCTCAGTAACACTGTGTATTAATTACTTTTTGCTGTGCAAAATGCCTGACCAAAGCCACTTGTGGAGAAAGGGTCCGGTCCATCATGCTGGGGAAAGCATAGCAGGAGTGGGAGGCGGCTGGTCACAGTGCAGCCTCAGTCTGCACTCGGAGAGGGATGCTGCTGCTCAGCCCCCTTTCTCCTTTTTGTTCAGTAGGACCCCAGCCCTAGTGGGTGACAGTCACATTAGTCACATCACCACCCTAGTTGATCCATCCGGAAACAATCTCACAGGCATGTCCAGAGGTTGTTTCCATGGTGATGATAAATCCAGTCAAGTTGACAACCCCTATCTATCATCACATCCTAGCATCTAAGACATTGAGGCAGAAAAATCATGAGTTCAAAGTCATCCTCAGCTAGATAGCAAGTTCAAGGCCAACCTATCTTAAGAAATAAAAATGCGATGCCTCAGTGAGTAAGGTACTGGCTGCCAAGCCTGAACGTCTGAGTTTGACTCCTGGAATCCACATGGGAGAAAGAGAAACAACTGCAAATTGTCCTTTGACACCAACACGTGTGCTGTGGCATCTCACACATTCTCTCTCTATTTCTCTCTCTCATCCACGTGTGTGCTGTGGCATCTCACACACGTTCTCTCTCTCATCCACGTGTGTGCTGTGGCATCTCACACATTCTCTCTCTATTTCTCTCTCTCTCTCTCTCTCTCTCTCACACACACACACACACACACAAATAAATAAATGCATGTCTAAAAAATAATCCTTCTAAAAAGAAATTAAGACAAAACAAATCTGAGCAATATATAACGTTACTCTCAGAACTGGATTCTTAACCATTTCTAAGCAGTGACTAACCAATGAGGAGAATCTTCTTCGTTTTCTTTAAATTGAACCAAGAAAACACTTTCTTATGTAAAATGAAAAAAGATGGTAGTTTGTTTCCTTTTTTAAAAAAATAAGTTAAATTTAAAAAAGAGTATAAATAAAAATGGTAAAGCAGTAAAGAAAACAAACAAACAAACAAAAAAAAAACACTTTCTCATTTTCCAAATAAAAATTAGTGTAGCAAATATGGGGAGTTCTGTTGTTGTGTATTCTTGAGACAGGCTGGCCTCTAACTCACAGAGATCTGCCTGCCTCTAGCTCCCAAGTGCTGGAATCAGAGGTTTATGCCGCTGTGAATGGCAAGTGTTATCTTTTTAAACATGCTTTAGATGTTCTTATTTCTTGAGTATGGGCATGCATGTGCCATTGTGCAGGATGGGGAGATCAGAGGACAACCCTTGGCAGGCAGGTTTTTCTTGAAGAGCCCAGGGATGGCGCTCCAGTCGTTAGGAGGTACAGGAAGGCAGGTGAGCTGAGTCATCCCTCAGCCCTCACCTCTGCTGTTGCTCCCTTAGGAAGCGCTGTGCCTGTGTCCCCTGTGGGATGCTGGCGCATGGACCACTGAGGAGAGGCCCAGTGTCCCCTCCTCTTTGAATCTTCCTTATTACAGGGCCACCTGGCAGGGATTCTCCAGTTATTTCCTGACAGGAACTTGATCAAGACCCAAGGTCCTTCAGGGCAGGAGAGTTTTAAGCAGTTGATGTTTTTCTTTTGACAGAGCCGAGAAGCTTCAGCTGCTGAACCACAGGCCAATGACCGCTGTTGAGATCCAGCTGGTGAGTGGGGGGTCGCTGGACTCCAGGAGTTGTTTTGTGGGTCTGAGATGCAGAAAGGCTGAGTGTGAACAAGCCAGGGACTGCACACACATTCCCGTGCAGTAAGTGAAAGGAGAGACCGAGCGGAGCCTCACCGCTTGGAGAGTGGGACTCTGGAAGTTCAGTTCCTTCCTTGGGTTTGGCAACCCTGTGTCCTCTGCTGTTCTAGGCCTTTCTGGCCATGGCTGGCCTGTAGGAGTTACAGCCAACCAGATGTTGCATAAAAACATTAGACTCAAAGTGCACCCCTCCCCCACGCTTCCACCTCTTTCTTTCTTTCTTCCCCACATGCTGTCTTCCTCGCCTGTCCTGCTGGGCCTTCTCAGCAGTTCTTGTTCTAGCTGATGCTCAGTTGTCCCCGCTTTCTGTTGCTTCCACCTCTGCTTAGTCTCTCTCTCTCGAGCATATAACATTAATTTCTGTCCACGTTTCATAACTCACCCCTGCAGTTTTTCATCCTTCTTTCTGCTTCTCCAAGCATGTGTGAACACACCTGCCTTACAGATCCCTTTCTAAACCCATGAACGCGGTCTCATTTCCCTGCATAAAAGTATCTGGTGCAGCCTTGGAATTTGTAAGGCCCAATATGCAGTCACAGTGCAGGGCTTCAGCCACGGTGGACAGAGACAGAGCAGGGTGTCTGGGGAGGAAGTGAAGGTGCAGGCCAGCGAGAGGCTCCTTTCAGGTGTCATGCGGCAGGGGCCTTCTGGTACACGGCAGAGCATCAGTTAGCTGTGAGGGTTAAGCGGGTCATGTCACTACCAGGAAAACTTGGTTTTGAGAATCAGTAAAATAGTTGACAAAGTTTATCTTAGAAATATTCAGCTCTTAGCAGGGGTTGGGGGTGCATGCCTGTGAGCCCACTGTTGTGGGGGCAGGAATAGAGGGTGACAGTTTGAGGCCAGCCCAGGTCACATATTATGCTCCGTTCTTGAAAAGTACATATAATAAAAAACAAAAACAAGTACAGAAGAAGCATTCAGGTCTTTGTAAAATTTGCAAAGTATGGAAAACAATGACCAAGAACCTCTATGCGCCTCTCAATTTATCTAAAACATTTCAAAGGTTATAAAGTAGTTAAGTTTTGACTAAAGCCTTCATTGTCTTCCTAGAGTTGTGTCTGTCCTTCCAAACATACCCAGAATTAAATTATAGACATTCCTTCCCTTCTGGGGATCTTCCTGGGGGACTTGGCCTTTATGCTAAACAGAGGTCCCCATCTGTGTGTCCTCATTGTTCTAGATGTTAGACAGATTCAGCTTGCAGGAGAGGGAAAGATGAAGAAACCGATCCCTGTCCCTTGGGTTAAGGATCACGTGTTGGTTCTTCTCCAACTTTAATCAGCACCACATGCTGTTTGTGGCCAAGTGACAGATGAAGAGGAGCCGTGAGGAGGGTTAGAAGGGCTCCATCCCTAGCCTGGGGAAGGCTCCGGACTTGCTTGTTGGAAGAGCTGATTCTGAGCGCTCTGACATGTTAGACGTGCTCCAAGGGCCTTGTCCGTGTTCTTTTAGTGTTGGAGGAGGACAGATATTCTCACCTTTTTATTTCAGAGGACAGTGAGTGGCCAGTTGGGGTCTGTATCACCAGAGACAGAGATGAGGGGATTTACTAGGGGAATAGACCACAAGGTTATGGGAGCACAGAGGCCCCTCCCAGAAAGCCATCTACAGGCTGAAGACCCCAAGGTACTAGTAGATTGGCTCAGTCCAGGTGGGAAGTTCTCAGAATCAAGGAAGCTGATAGTTTAAACAGTCTGAGGCTATAGGGCTTGAGAGCTTAGGGTGACTGCTGTATGTTCTACAGCCTTCAGGCCAAAGAGCCTGAACTGAGGTTGCCCAGGACACGAGTGACCCACTTGGGGTAAGAATGGTGCTGTCCTGACCCCAGCCACTTGAGTGGTGCTCACCTGCATTAACAGTAGACGCTTTCCAGTAAGTCGATTAGCTCACACAGGCTTCCAGAGACACCTCACAGATGCACCCAGAACCTTACCAGTAGACCAGGTGCCGTCAAGGTGATGCCTAGAATCACTCGTTACAGCTCGTGAGATGGTTAGTGTGGTGTTCCCTCGGCTGTCTCTTTCTACAGACCCTTCTTTCCCTGCAGCAGAGCATTTTCTTATCAGATCTTTTTCCCACCATAGAATTGGTGCAAAAGATAGCGAGCAGCAGGGCTTAGATAGAGCAGCATCCTGACTGCCAGAGAGCATGAGGAATGAGGGTTTCTCAGAGGTCAGAAAGCAAAGGACTTGGTTTTCCTGGAGTAACGACAGCCTCAGAAAGGGGCTGCACCACCCATGCTTGCTAGAGTTCGGTTGAGAGCAAGAAGTGCCTCAGCTAGGGTTTGTTGTAGTCCTTTGGTGGCTGTCCACTGACTGAGAGGCTCTGTGAGGAAGTGGGCCTGCTGTGAGAGTCCAGCTTGCTCTGCTGTGCTCCATCACAGATCCTTGTCCTGCACAGCATTCCAGCCTGTGTCCATCAAGGCCCATTGGCTTACATTCCCATAGCAGCCCTACAGCTCACTGTCAGCATCACTTTCAGTTGGTCAGAGGAAGCTGATGTTGAGAGGCCAAATAGCTGCAAGTCATGGCTGTTGCTACAGCTGAGTTTTCCAAGATGAACAACTCTGTTTAGTATTGGACCAGGATGTATCATTTAAGACCCAAGTTTCAACATAGGATTGATTTATATGTACTGTAACATATAGATTGAAAGTAGTTGTATACAGTATTTTTGGTAAGATTTTGTTGTATTTATTCATTTTATGCAACCTGTCAATTGAGGTCAGAAGTATAAATTTCTACCTAGGTGGAGAGCAGTTTTGTCTAGTCTTCCCTAAGGAAGTGTCTTGTTAATGCTCAGAAAGGTCCTGATTCTAAGGTGATGGTGTGGAAGAAATAGCTCAGTGGGTACAGTGCTTGTCCCCCACAAGTTTGAGGACCCAAACTCACATAAAGCTTGTGTAGTGTGAGCGTCTGTAATCCTAGTGCTCCTTTAGGGAGACGGGTGGCAGAGAGAGGAGAATCCCTGGAAACAGACAACTGTCCCGTCATGCATAAGCAAGCTCAGACTAGGTGGATGGTGAGGATCAGACCCCACAAACACATTACAAAGATGAAAAACTTGCAAAACTAGAAAAAGTAAATTGAGTGGTGGTGGCTCACGCCTTTAATCCCAGCACTACCCCTTTCCGGAAAAATGAAAACAAACAAAAAAAACCTCAAGGCTCCATTTCAATATTCCCCAATACCAAATTGTTCACAATATAAAAGCAAATGAATATGTAAAACCCTAGCAGGCAGACAGCTCTTGGTGAATGACAAATCTCTGCATACACAAAGCTCTCTAATCCCTGGAGGCAGCCAAATACTCCAGAAGAGGCCACTCCCCACTGGAAGTTGCCAGTCCTAGCACGCGGCTTTCCTCACTTGACCCAAGCCTAACAGGCCAACAGCAGCAATTAGAAATCAAGTGCTTTAACACTGAAAGCAGTTTTAAAGCTTTACTTTTCTTTTCTTGTTTTGGTTTTTCAAGGCAGGGTTTCTCTGTAGCTTTGGAGCCTGTCCTAGAACTGGCTCTTGTTTGTAGACCAGGTTGGCCTTGAACTCACAGTGACTCGCCTGCCTCTGCCTCCACTGCACCAACGCCCAGCTGAGCCTTGAGTTTCTTATTTGGGCTGTCCTCCTGTGGGGAGGAAAGGTGAGGCAGGATATAGTTGCTGACCTCTCTGGTGGTCCAAGAAGAGGGTAGGTAAGCTTTCGTTTTCTTCCTGTGCCTGAAAACTCAGAATCTTAAGTTTAAAACCACCTTCCCAACTACAGTTACCCTGTGGGTATAGTTCTGGTAAAGTTTCCAGCTTGGAGAGCTGGTGCCCTTTTGCTAAGGTCATACCTAGTGACCCCTGATTGGCACTGCCGCTGCTAGACCCAGAGTCAGTGATGCTGGGCAATAGCACTGGTTCTATGTAAAAAGGAAGGCCTCAGAGGGTTCCACCCACCCCATAGCAGGAGCCTCCATACTGCTGCCCAGCATCAGTGAGAGAGGCTCTGGTGCTCCAGAAGGAGTTAGGATTGAGCTTAAAGACCTGGGGCTGCAGACAGAGCCTCTTGCACACTGCCGTGCCTCCCAAAGTCAGTATGCTTCAGTACAGTCAGTATGTTTCCAGTGCGGCTCCTCATATGGTGGAGCTCTTCACAGATGCTTTGGCCAGGCAGGTAATTGGCCAGGTTTGGCAGTGTTTCATCAGCTTACAGTCTTTCCTTTGCACTAAATAATCAAACCAGATGTTTCACTCCAGCTCCCTTTCTTCTTTGGGGGCATACTGTGTTGGATTACTGCCTTTAATTTTTTGTGTCTGATCTGATTTTGTGAATTTTTTTTTTTTTGAGGTAAGGTCTCATGTAGCCTGGGTTGGCCTCAAACTTAATATGTAGTTGAGTTTGGGATGATCTTGAATTCCTGATCCTCCTGTCCCTACCTCCTAAATATTGGCAATAAAGACATGCATCAACATATCTGTCTAAAAATGCATTTTTAAAGAATTGGGGTTTTTTTGTTTTTCTTATTATTTTAAAACATTTCATAAAGTCTATTTTGATTATATTCTTTCCTCTCCCCTGACTCCTCTCAGATCCTTCCTACTTCTTTACCCTCCCAATTTCATGTTCTATCTCTCTCAAAGGAGAAAAAAAAACAACCACACAAAAATCAAAATAAACAAACAAAAGATCCCTAATAAAACAAACTAAAACAGAAGGCATAAAGAGCATGGAGTCTGCTTTGTGTTAGCCTGCTCCTGGGCATGGGTCTTGCCCTGGAGTATGATTGGCATGCCCAGTGTTACTCCATTGGAGAAAACAGATTTTCCTTTTCCCTGCAGATTTCTGTTGCAAATAGCCTCTTGGTGTCTACCTCCCCTTCTCTGTGATGGGCTAAACTTGTCTGTCATAATCCATCTGAGTTCTTACGTAGATCATCCTTGCTGTGCCTTGAAGACTCCTTGTTATCATCCATCACCTCTGGCTCTTGGAATCTTTCCACCTCCTCTTCAGCTTAGATTTCTGAGCCTTGATAGCAGGGGGTTGATCTCATTAGAGCTGAGTGTTCCAAAATCCCCCACTCTGCAGTGTCCAGTTGTAGGTCTATGTTAGGTCCCATCTGCCGCAGGAAGCTTCACTGGTGAGGGTGTGTGATGTGCTGATCCGTGGGAACAGCAGTGTCTCATTAAGAGTTATTCTATTGCTACATTCCTTTAGCAGAATAACTGTAGCAGATTTCCCTTAGGACCCATGACCTGTCTAGTCTCAGGTTCTTAGCCCTTTAGCAGTGCCATATAGGAGCTCCATCTCATGGAGTGGGTCTTAAATCCAATCAAAAGGCAGCTGGTTACTCCTGTAACATTTGAGCTACTGTGGTAGCAGTACATCTTGCAGACATATTCATAACTAGGTGATTATTGAAGACTACTCTTCTCTGATAATGTGCTTAGTACCTTCTAGTACTAAGTACCTTTTTCCTCGAGGCAGTCACATCTTGCTTCCTCTATAGCTGGGTAATGACTGCAGACTGAAACTTTCCTCTTCCCATAATTCTCGTTGCCCTGCCTATACTTCCTGCCTGGCTACTGGCCAATCAGTGTTTATTAAACAAGCGCAAGAAACACATCTTTACGGGGTAGAACCATTGTCCCACAGCAATACAAATTAATAAATTGCATTTAACTTTTAGCATAGATTCCAAGTAGGAATTAAGTACTTTTTTTTTTGGTTTTTTTAAGGCAGGGTTTCTCTGTACCTTTGGAGTCTATCCTGGAACTAGTTCTTATTGGCCATGCTGGCCTTGAGCTCACAGAGATCCATGTGCCAGTAGGGGAGAAACTTCTAATTGGGCACAACTCTGTTTTTTGTTTCTTTTGTTTTTGTTTTGTTTTGCTTTTTTTCGAGACAGGGTTTCTCCGTAGTTTTGGAGCCTGTCCTAGAACTAGCTTTTGTAGACTAGGCTGTCCTCCAACTCACAGAGATCCTCCTGACTCTGCCTCCTGAGTGTTGGGATTAAAGGCGTGCGCCACCACTGCCTGGCTTGTTCCATCCTTGATGACATAGTAAGTGGTGTCTTCATACATGCCCTTACTCTTAGGTTGTGGAGGATAACCAACAGCTTTGGCAGCACCCTGTGATTTGGGGGGAATTCTTTGGGATCCCTTTGACCAATGACTTACCAAGTTGTAATCCATTCCTAGCAATGGGGGGGTGGTTACTTGGTAGCATAAGATGTCTTGGTGGGAATTTCTTCCACATATGTGTACATTTCAGCAAACTTCTATAGTAATAGGTTTCCATGTTTTTTTTGTTTGTTTGTTTTTCTTTTTTCAAGACAGGGTTTCTTTGTGCCTTGGAGCCTGTCCTGGAACTTGCTCTGTAGGCCAGGCTAGTTTCGAACTCATAGAGATCCACCTGCCTCTGCCTCCCGATTGCTGGGATTAAAGGCGTGCGCCACCACTACCTGGCTCCATATGGATTTTCAAAGGGCCTTTAGTGTTAATTTTCCCATCCCACATTCCCTCCCTTACCCTGTTCTTTCATCCCCATTTTATTCTCCTATTCTAGTTTCCCCTTTATCTCTCTTTTTTTTTTTTTTTTTGGTTTTTCGAGACAGGGTTTCTCTGTGGCTTTGGAGCCTGTCCTGGCACTAGCTCTTGTAGACCAGGCTGGTCTCGAACTCACAGAGATCCGCCTGCCTCTGCCTCCCGAGTGCTGGGATTATTGTTTTTGTTTTTTGAGATAGGATCTCTCTACATAGCCCTGGCTGTCCTGGAATTTACTATATAGACCAGGCTGGCCTTGAACTCATAGAGATCTGCCTGACTCTGCTTCTAAATGTGCACCACCATACCAGACCCTTTATCCCTTTATAACATCGTATTCTCCTTCTCCTTCCTTGGAAGATCCCTTTCTTCCTGCGGGTTAATTACTAACTACCTAACCTCTAGGCATTCTAAATGAAACCCATATACTAAAGCTTAAAAGCTAACTGATCATATAAGAGGAAACGTTCAGTGTTTGTCTTTCAGGATCTGCTGTTGCCTTACTTGGAATGATCATTTCTAGCTACATCCATTTATCTGCAGATTTCAGTATTCCATTGCGTAAGTGTATCAACATTTTCATTTTTCATCACCTGGTAGACATCTAGGCTGTTTCCGGTTTCTGGCTTCATGAACGTGGATGAGCAAGTATCTCTGTAGTAAGATGTAGAGTCCTTTAGGTATATATCCAGGAGTGCTGTAGCTGGATCATGAGGTAGATGGATTCTCAGCTTTTTGAGGAACCTCCACACTGATTTCTGCAGTGGCTGTGCCACTTTGCACTCCCATCAGCAGTGGAGGAGTGTTTCTCTTTTCCTGTATCCTCGCCAGCATCTGCTGTCGTTCGTTTACTGATCTAAGGTGAGATCTCAAGCAGTTTTAATTTGGATTTCCCTGATGGTTGAGGATATTGAACAAGTGTTCCTTTGCTGGCACTGCACAAGCCCAGCTTGCTGTATGCACCTGATAATCTCAGCACTTAGGTGGCGGTGGCTGCCAAATCAGAAATTCAAGGTTATCCTTGACTACATGGCAAGCAGGAGAACAGTCTGGGGTACTCGAGACCTTGTCTAAATAAAGGAAAAAAGAACCATTAGAAAATGGTCAGGACACTCCCTACTTGAAACACCCAAAACTATTCTCTAGCTATAGAAACGGTTTTGCGGAAAGGAAAGTGCTCTGTGCACCCGCGATGTGTTCTTGGGTGTGTCTTATGTGGTCTTCAGATCAGCACTACTGTGTCTGCATGAGGAGGCAGTCAGACTGCCGTTCTCTTCGGGATGGAACCTTTCCTTATTTGACTTCCCGCTGCACATTTGCTAGGGTTCTTTCTGAAATAACCTTTTTATATCAGTTGCTGGGTCTCAGAGGGTAGTTGTTAAAAAAAAACCTTCATCCAGTGTCAGTCACATGCTCATGCCTCCTTGTGAACACAGTCTTGCATACCTGCATAGTGCTTTTAAAGTTGTTGGGTTTTTTGTTTTTTTGTTTTTTCGAGACAGGGTTTCTGTCCTGGAACTAGCTCTTGTAGACCAGACTAGCCTCAAACTCAATAGAGATCCACCTGCCTCTGCCTCCCAAGTGCTGGTATTAAAGGCATATGCCACCACCACCTGGCTTAAAGTTGTATTTTTATGAGGATGGAGAGTTAAGAGCACTCTGAACTCCAGGTTCAGTTCCAGCACCTCTGTGGTTTACAACCATCTTTAACTCCAGTTTTAAGGGATCTGATGTGCTCTTCTGGTCTTAGCAGGCATCAGGCACACACGTGGTACACATGTATGCAAAATGCTCATACGTGTAAAAAATAAAAATAAATTTAAAATCTTAAAAAATTAGTTTTTATTTATGTTTATGTGTGTGCCTGTGCCTGTGTGAGGGTGCACGTGGGTGCCTGCAAAGGCCAGAGGAGGGTGTCGGAGCCCTTGGGGCTGGAGTTGCAGGTGGTTATGAGCTGCTGTGTGGCTGCTGGTACCCGAAATGGGTCCTCTGCACCAGCAGCCAGTGCTCTTAACTGCTGAGCCATCATCTCTTCAGCTTCTCTTTTTTTCTACTTACTTGTCAGGCAGGCTCCTCTTCTGCCTTCTTTGGAGATTAGTGGGTTGCGTTTGTTTCTCTTGCTTTAATAAAATACCTGACATAACCACTTTACAAAGAAGAAAGGTTTATTTTGTCTGATGGTTTCAGATTCAGTCCAACTACAGATGGCCCTGTTGCCTTAGGCCTGGACAGTGACCAAGCCATAAACTTGAGGAAAGTCTAGGGTCCTAGCACCCCCAATATCCTGACTTCCTCCCTGTACTCCCCACTACTAAAGGTTCTTCTGTCTCCCAGTAGTGTCATAGGCTGAGGACCAAACTTCCTAGGCACAGCATTTGAGGGACATTTAGGAGCCAAACCACAATGTGGTATGTGTTAGCTGGAGGCTTTCTACCTGGGCATGCCAGGCTGGGAGTCCAGTCCTGCTTCTTGCTAGGATTGCAGTGAGTATTGGAAGAGATCATGAGGACCCTGCAGAGCTCTGGTGAGCAGCAGGGGTCGTGAGAACTGTTAGAGGATAGAAACTGGTACAGGGGAAGCAGCATCGAATGACTGGGTCATACCACTTACAATGGAGGTAGTTTGTTGTGAAATCCTAAAGTTTATCTAGGGCCCTGTCACCCCCCAAAGGTGAATTTCTTTGCACACCCGACATACTAGTGTGTGGATATGAAAGGGAACAGAATAGTTAGAATTTCCCTTTATCTAAAGAAGAACAAGCTGGACATAGTGGTGATGCACATCTTTAGTTCCAGTACTCACGAAACAAACAGGCAGATTTCTGTGTGTTGGAGGCCAGCCTGGTCTACATAGTGGGTTTCAGGACAGCCAGGGCTACCTTGTCACCAAAAAAAGGAAGAGCAACATGCAGGAAGAGAAAGACAGACAGACAGATGCTCAGCTCCACAGACCCACATTGCATGCTTGCTTTGGCTTGATCTTGGATTTGAGCTGGCGTCATCCTACTGTGGATCCTAGATGAAGACCTGGCTGGCTCAGGTCCAGGTTCTGGACTGGCACTGTGGACTGCATGGCTCAGGTGGGCAATGAAGGGAGGCTTACTTCTAACCCCTGACGGGCTTCCTTTCCCTTGTAGATGGTAGAAGAGAGTGAAGAGCGGCTCACGGAGGAGCAGATTGAAGCCCTTCTGCATACTGTCACTAGCATTCTGCCTGCAGGACCAGAGGATGAACAGAGTAAAAACACTAGCAATGATGTGGCGATGGAAGAGGAAGACCCAGCATAGATGTGCACAGCTGGCAAGGTTGTTCGTGGAGTTCAAAGCCCCAGCAGCCATTTCCTGGATGTTCAGAGGATTGTTTATTTGATTTTACCCTCTCTCAATATGCCTGATCTCAGAGTTGGTTGGGAGAAATTGCAAAAATAAGATATAAAGAAATCTTTATGCCTTGAGATCAAGAAACATGGGGTCAGAGAAGGGCAGAGAGCTCAAGACGGGACTTGCCTGTGCAGCTTTCTGGGTAGAAAGACTTCTGTGGCCTCTGCCACACTTGACCTCAGTGCTAAGCTATTTAGCGCTTTGATGCCTGTGTTGTAGGCTATGGCAGGAGCGGCTGGCTGAGAGTGGAGCTGTGGAAATGGCTCATGCTTGAGACCTCCACAGCTGTTCCTGGGGAAATGACCTGGAGCTTAGCTCACTCTAGAGGAATGTCCTTAGCAGAAACAGGACGTTAGAAAAGGAGATTAAGAGCAAACTCCAGTTTGAGTCCAGCCTGGTCCGCATAGGAAGGAAATCACATGTGAACACATCTAACATGCATGCATACCACATACATACAAAAAAATTAATCCTTTTTCTGTTAATTGCTAAAAACAATTCTTACAGCTTTGGTAAGTGACAAGGAAAAGAGACTTATTTTGTCTCATGGTTCTGGTTCATGGTCAAAGGGCATCTGGGTATGGCCCTGTTATTGCCAGAGTGCGTGGGTAGCACAGGGTCCCACCTGATGAAAAATGAGAGGCACTTGTTTATTTTCAGTCACTTATAGCCCAAATTGACCTTGAACTCAGTCTGTAGCACACTCTGTCATCAGACTTTTGATGATTCTTTTGCCTCAGCCTCCTGAGCGCTGGGATTAAAAGTGTATGCCTCTCAGCTTGAAAGGCAGAGGCCAGCCTGGTCCACATAGCAAGTTCCAGCCAGCCCGAGCTACACAGTGAGACCCTGTCTCATAAAAACAAACAAACAAATAAATAAGCACACCATATGGTGTGCCACTATACTGTGTGTGTGTATTTTGAGGGGAGAGGAGGTTAGTTTGTTTTTTGAGACCTTTTTTGGTCGTATTTAATAGGAGTTTAATGGCATTATTATGTAATGGGGAGATTCTTTCTCTCCAGACACCATAGTTTATCAAATATAATGTGCAGTGATAGGTAATCTCTTTTGAGTCCCATAGATCCCCCCCAAAAAAAATTATCGGACATTGCCATGACTTCAGAACTCAATGGTATGATCCTTTTGCTAAAGACATTCTGTACTGGAGATGACCTATGAAGGACGTAAAGTCTGGTACTAACTGGAAACTTCATCCTGTTAGTTGAGGGTGTTCTGCCAGAAGTGCGAGGTAGTGGTTCTTCATCAGAAGCATCAGATTCAGAGGTTTCAGTACCTTCTTTCATCTTCTCCTTCAATCTTTCCCCAAGGTACGGGTTAAGAAATGAATCCTGTGTGGTGACTAGCTGGCCCGCTCTTCTTCAGGGAGGCTGCAGATGGACAGTTGAACATTCCCACCTTTAGTCTCCCGTTGTCTCAGTTCCTGCGGCAGGTACTAAGTAGTTGTTCTACAAGAACATCAGCGCAATTCTCTTCACTCCTGTCATCACTCTTGTCCTTGGGAGGAAGTCCAGGAGGCAAAGATTCTCTACCGAGTATCTTCACTGCTGGGTCTGGAGATGAGTCTTCATGTGTATTTGTCCTTCAGAGGGGAGAAGCAGTGGCTCTCCCTGAGGACAACTTCCTATCTCCAGCCCTCCTCTTCACCCTTCTTCCAGCCAGCTGATCTGCTGTGACAACCATGATGAACCTTGATGAAGAAACACACCTTCTTATCCACAGAGATACATTCTCTGCCATAAATTCATTTCTGGGTCTTTAGTTGTTTTCGGCCACAGAGTCACTGTCTGTGTCCTCAGTTGCCCGCCGAGGAACATCAGGACCAGGTTTGCCAGCCTTCTGAAGACTTCTGCTTGCTATTGTTATTTTGGTTTGGTTTTTTCGAAACTTTTTTTCTTCTACTTTTTCAAGACAGAGTTTCTCTGTGTAGCCCTGGCGGTCCCGGAACTAGCTCTTGTAGACCAGGCTAGCCTCGAACTCAGAGATCTACCTACCCCTGGCTCCTGAGTGCTGATCGGATTAAAAGCATGTACCATCACCTCCTCGCTTTGTTTTGTTTTTTGAGACAGGGTGTCATTATGTTGCTCTGGTTGGCCTCAGAATCAAGTAGGTCTACCTCTGAGAGAGGGAATAGCACACCTCTGGGTGTGTCTGTGAGAGTGTTTCCAGAGATAGATCATGAAGACTGAGCTAGGCCCAGTCGCTTAAGGGATTAGAATGGATTGTTGAGGCAGGTAGAAATTCCTATCTGGTTGGAGGAGGTAGGTGAGAAGGAACATGCCTTGGTGACTGTAGTGACTTGTCCTCTTCCTGCCATTTCTCTCCTCTTTGCTTTCTGTTTGCTGCCTGTGCTCCCACCACCATGATGCTCTCCCTCACTGTAGGCCCAGGAACACAACCCACCTGGTAACCACACACTGACACCTCTGAAACCATGAGCTGAAATAGACAAACTCCCTTAAATTGCTGTTGTCAGGCTTTGCTTACAAAAAAGTCTCTAGTATGGAAGTTGTTCCTGTGTCACAGATAGAGACCCTGAAGCTGCCAGCAGAAAGAAGCATTGGCCTGAGGAATCAGAGCCATTAAGCAGCAAAAGTGGGGTACACACTCCAGGACTATCTGCTCCAGACATAGACTCCACAGACTGGATCATCAGGCCTCCTAATCAAGCCTGGTTCTCTTTTTTAAATGTGTATTTATTAACTGGGAGTTGAACCTCGGGTCTCATCCATGCCCGACGTGCTACTGAATCATGCTCCCAGAAACAATGGGCAATCCTAGATAAAGCTCTCCTGCTAAGCCACAGTTTTGGCTCCCCACTGGAGGATTCTAAGCAAACACTCTCCCACTGAGTGACTCTCTCCAGTCCTTCCCTGATGGAGTCTAGGCTAGTTGTACTGCTGAACTCCATCCCTTGCCCTCTCTCTTTTCCAGACAGGCTAAGCACACAGCTCCTAATCCTCCGGCTCCAGCAAGTCGCTACTCTAGGGCTGCATCACCATCCTTGGTTGAGCAATCCTTTTACTGATCTTTCTTCCTTGGGTTCCTGAATATTTCTGAGCAAATAAAAGGGGTTGTTTTAATTAGGATGTGTTTGTTGTTTTTGGGGATAGGGGTTTCTCTTTGTAGCCCTGACTGTCCTGGAACTTTTTATGTAGACCAAGCTGGCCTCAAACTACAGAGATTTGCTTGCCTCTGCCTCCCAAGGTGGGATTAAAGGTGTGCACCACCAATGCCCAGCTAGTTTCTATTGCTGTGACCAGTACCTTGACCAAAAGCAACTTATACTTCCAGACCATCACTACTGAAGTCAGGCAGGAACTGAATCATGGAGGAACACTGCTTACCGGTTGTCCCTCCTGGTTTGCTCAGCCTGCATATCTATCTGTATCTATATTACCCAGGACCCCCAGCCCAGAGATGGCGCCACTCAAAAAGGGGCTGTGTCCTCCCACGTCAATTAGTAATTAAGAAAATGCACTGTATTTTCATACAGACCAACTTTATGGAGGTTTTTTTCTCAGCTGAAGTTCCTTCTTCTACTTGTAATGAGTTGACATAAAACTAACCAGCACCAGGGTAGAGCAGGCAATCTTGGGGCTGGGTAGTTACGTTCCTTATTCTGTAGTCAGTTCCTGGCTAGAGCAGCAGCTATTCCTGCTTAAAGCCTCATTATTCACCTACATGTCTTTGGTGTCCTGTCTCATATTTGGGTCAGAAATTGTGTTCACAGAATTAGAAGCTCCAAGTTGTCCTTTTGCAGGGCAGGCTGGAGGGGCCTGGAAACCTGGGAGATTTGGGGTTAAATATTCCAGTTCTTTCCCAGTGAGAGCCTCAGAGAGGAGGACCAGAGCATGCATTGGCAGGGTGGGGTTCTGGGGCAAGGAGCCAATGCTGAGTCATAGGGGAGCCAGGGAGTCAGGGCCAGGGCAAGGCACACGATGCCAGAGCTGCTGAAGGAAAGCCCAAGGCTGAACTGGCATGGTGGAAGTCAGCAGCAGCAGTGAGCAAGGTCACAAGAGGGAGCTGCAGTCGATCTCAAGGGCTGGGATAGGAGAAGCTGGCATGTGTCTGCAGATCCCCAGAGCTGCTGGGCTGTTCTCAGGGTGGATGGTGGCCTAGTCCTGCTGGATTGGTTGGTTCAGCGCTGAAAGTGCTCAAGACTAGGAGGGATGATGGCCCAGAGTGGACGAGGCTGAGGAGCCTCAACTAGGGGTGTACCAGGCTGGGGGGAGCATCAGATAGGGGTGTCTCAGGCATCATAGTGTTCAGCTCTCCAGCTGTGGTGAGGCACATCCAACAGACCCCTCAGGCCAGACTTACCTAACTACATGAGGGTCCAGCTTCTCTGAAGTCTCCTCAGTTGGGGGTGCTTGCTGCTGCAGCTCAACTGTGGCTTCTCTGTTGATACTCACCGCTCTGGAAGAACACTGCGTTCTTCAAGAGCCTCACTCCAGACACTTTCCGTGTTAGGACTTTTTGTTTACCTTTCAAAATATGTGCAAACAAATTTATAAAATGTGATAAAGAATAAAAGCAGGTGATGTAAAAATAAATGTACATTTTATTTACTTGAATTAGTGTGTGTGTGTGCACAGCGCTTGTGAGAGTGTGCACTTGTATGTGTGTGTATGTGGAAGCCAGAGGACAGCCTTAGGCGCTGTTCCTCGGGGACCATTCACCTTGTTTTTTGTCTGTGTCACACTGGCCCAGAGCTCAGCACTCAGTCTACTAGCCAGTGCCGCTGGAGTTCTGGCATTGCAAATGCATGCCACCACATCTGGCTTTCTTAGCTTTTGTTTTTTGTAAATTACATTTATTTATTATGTGTGTGGGGGATGCCATGGTGTGCATTTGATGTTCAGAAGGTCATCCTTAGCTGAACTGTGTGTTTGAAACTAGTCTGGTCTACACAAGACTCTAGCTTAAAAAAATTCTCTTAAATTATCTTGGTGTTCAAATTGCCTCAGATTTGTTAGTAGAAACCACTTTAAGATATCTCCTGGGTCCTTGTGTCATAACCCCGTCCTTTTAAAAGTCTCTTTGATCGAACCAGATGTGTATCTTGCCAGCTATGGATTAAATTACTTCTTTAAAGTAGTTCAAAGTAACAGTTTAATTTCTAATTCTTTTGTTGTTGTTTTGGTTTTTCTAGACTGGGTTTCTCCGTGTAACAGCCAGCTCTAGCTCTCCTGGAACTTGCTCTTATAGACCAGGCTGGCCTTGAACTCACAGAGCTCACCTACCTCTGCCTCCCTAGTGCTGTGTTTAAAGGCATGCGCCACCACTGCCCAGTGAAGCAGTTTTAATTTCTATTAGTAATGAATGGTGCTAAAGGTCAAGGTCAGGGTCTTGACATCATCGCTGGTAAAAGATATAATATCACCGGGCGGTGGTGGCGCACGCCTGTAATCCCAGCACTCGGGAGGCAGAGGCAGGCGGATCTCTGTGAGTTCGAGACCAGCCTGGTCTACAGAGCTAGTTCCAGGACAGGCTCCAAAACCACAGAGAAACCCTGTCTCGAAAAACCAAAAAAAAAAAAAAAAAAAAAAAAAAAAAAGATATAATATGGCTTTTTTCTGCTTAAGATTCATTTTTATTTGTGTGTATGCCTGTGTGCACATAATTGCAGTGTTCGTGGAGGCCAGAAGAGGGCATTGGAGGAAGAGGGCATTGGATCCCTTTAAGCTAGAGTTGGTGGTATTGAGCCACCTGGCATAGTTGCTGGGAGCCAAACTCACATGCTCTTAAGTGCTGGGCCATCTCTCCAGCTCCCTTACACATTTAGTGTTTTCGTTTTGTTCACTGAGCCAGAGTCTCACAATTTAGTCCAGGTTGGCTTCAAGCTTGTAATCGTGCCTCAGCTTTCCAGATCCTGAAATGTGCACATGTATAGTACTGCACCTGATTCACCCATTCCATACGTTCATATTTCTTCCTCTAAGACTCCTGGCTTCCAACTATATCAGCATATAAACTCAATCTTCTCTTCCTTCTAAAAAGTTCCGGAACGGCTTCCTGCATACCATTACGCAGCTATTTAAGAGTTTAGGGCTAGTGAGATAGCTTGGGGTAAGGGTGCTTCCTGCACAACCCTGGCCCCAGACACAGGCAGAAGGAGAGAACCTACTCCACAGAGCTGTCCTCTGACCTCTGCATACCTGCCATGCTCACCCACACACAGCACAATGCTAGTAAATAAAATTTTAGTCTTAAGAGTTTAAGGCTTGGCAGTGGTGGTGCACACCTTCAGTCCCAGCACCCCAGAGGCAGAGGCAGGAGGATCTCTTGAGTGTGAGGCCAGCCTGGTCTACAGAGAGAGTTCTAGGAAAGCCAGGGCTACACAGAGAAACCCTGTCTCAAAAGGAAAAAAAAAAAGTTTAAGTTAGGCTTTGGTGGAGCACATTTTTAATTGCAGTATTTGGGAGGCAGAGGCAGGTGGATATATGTGAGTTGAAGGCCAGCCTGTTCTACATAGTGAGTTCTAGGACAGCCAGGGCCACACAGACCCTGCCTCATAAGAGTAACCCCACACCAACAAAAAAACAGTTTAGGATTTGTTGATTCTCTTTCCTCCCCACCACATCCTCTGCCCCCAGCTGAGGGTACAGAGTCAAATCCTGTGTTCAGTTACTGGGCTTTATTCTTTACAAAATTGCAGTGTGGCTGTGGAGCAAATTCGAAATAAAATTGATTTCATTATGTGCAATCTGCTTTCAATTCTTGCTTTCTTTCCGTTGTTACTAATTTATATCCCTTTTTTGTTTATTTTTGAGACAGTATAGCCTAGATTGTTCTAGAACTTGTGTGTGCTCTGTTCTGCAATTCTACTATATTCTGCAATTCAATATATCTATTTAATATCTTCTGGAAGTTACTCCATACCAGTTTATAGAAATACTCATTTTTTTATGTGTGTGTTTCTTTTTTAGTTGGTTTTATTTTGTTTTTGAGGTGGTTTTCATGCTTCCTCTGCTAACCTCAAACTTGCTGTGTAGCTGAGGACGAACTTGAACTTTTCGCCTGCCTCTGCCTCCCAAGTGCTGGGATTAAAGGTCTGCGCCACCACCGCCCCGCCTAACTTGAATTTATCCTCCTGCCTTCACCTCCCGAGTCAAAGGTTACAGGCATATGACAGTATACCTGCTTGATGTATTGCTGGGAACCAAATTCAGGACTTTGTACAACTACAGCCCCAACCTCCAAATGATGTATTTGTTACCAAGTCCTTGGTGCCACACACTTTGTTTGTTTAATATTTATTTAGAAATAATCTTATTTTAAATACCAATCCCAGTTCCCTCTCCCTCCTTCCCTCCCGCTCCCCCACCTTCTCCCCACCACCCTGATCCACTCCTCAGAGAGAGTGAGGCCTCCCATGGAGAATCAGCAAAGTCTGTCACGTCATTTGAGGCAGGACCAAGGCCCTCCCCGCTGTATACCCTGAGCAAGGTGTCCCTCCATAGATAGTAGGCTCCAAAGAACCAGTTCATGCACTAGGGATAAATACTGGTTCCACTACTGGTGGCCCCACAAACTGCCCAGGTCACACAACTGTCACTCACATTCAGAGGGTCTAGTTCTGTCTTATGCAGGTTCCCCAGCTGTCAGTCCAGGGTCAGTGAGCTTCCACTTGCTCAGCTTACCTGTTCTGTGGATTTCCACATCATGGTCCTGACCCCTTTTGCTCATAATACTGCTCCTCCCTCTCTATGACTGGACTCCAGGAGTTTGGCCCAGTGCTTAAGCTGTTGATCTCTGCATCTGCTTCCATCAGTCGATGAAGGTTCTGTGATAATTAAGGTAGCCATAGTCTGATTACCAGGAGGGGCAGTTTAGACACCCTCTCCACTATTGCTTAGATTCTTAGCTGGGGTCATCCTTGTGGATTCCTGGGAATTTCCCTAGTCTGTGGTTTCTCGCTAACCCCATGATAGCTCCCTCTTTCAAGGTATCTCTTGACTCTCCTTCTCTGTCCTTTACCCAACTCAGCCTTTCCAGTTCCTCATGCTCTCCTCCCTACTCCCCTTCTCCCCTCCTTATCCCCCTATGACCCTTCTCCTCCCCCACATGCCAATTTACTGAGGAGATCTTGTCTACTTCCCCTTCCGGGGGGATCCGTGTAGGATGACACACACTTTAAATACCAAGCATCTATAACTATAGTTCATCTGGATACAGACCGCCTTCATTGCTTAGTCCTGCTTACTGGGTCAGATAAGACTTCATGACATATAGCAAAACCTCCTGCAGTTAGTTTGCACAGAAAAAGCACTCGTTACAGGAGAGTAGGTAACTCAGAACCACCTGCAACCGAGCCTCCAGGCACAGTGCCCAGGCCACGTTGCAGAACTAACTTGAGGTTACCAGTATTCTCACTGCAGAGCCACGGATGTGGCTGTCAACGCAGAACTGCACCTGCTCCTGTCACCAGCACCAATGCCACTGTGTCTGTGTAGACATCACCCTTAGATCTTGCCCATCCCTCGCAGGGTGTGCCTTCCTGTCCTCACTGACAGGCATTCCTCGTGGAGCCTGCTTCCTTATGCCCCCCCCCCCCCCCCCCCCCCCCCCGCCGCTCTGATGTGGGATTCCCCTCTGTACGCTCTGAATATGTTTTATTACCATTGGTTAACGAATAAAGCTGCTTCGGCCAATGGCTTAGCAGAGCAAAGCCAGGCGGGAAATCTGAACAGAGATATAGAGAAAAGTAGGCGGAGTCAAAGAGACGCCATGTAGCTGCTGAAGGAGGACATGCCAGAACTACTGGTAGATGACAGCCTCATGGTGATACACAGATTAATAGAAATGGATTAATTCAAGATGTAAGAGTTAGCTAGAAATATGCCTAAGCTATTGGCCAAACAGTGTTGTAATTAATATAGTTTCTGTGTGATTATTCAGTCTGGGCTGCCGGGAAATGAGCAAGCAGTCTCCTCCTACACCCCTCCCTCTTTTCCTCATTTCTTTTGAGATGGGATCTCAGGTAGCTCAGGCTCGCCTCAAACTCACTATGTAATCAAAAATAGTCATGAACTCATATGTCTTCTGAAAGTGAGATCTAATAAATGCTTTGGACAGATCCCCCTGGCAGTTCTGATTCTCCTACCACCCCCGTTGGAATCCCAACCATCCCAATCTCAGAATGCTTAGGGGCTCTCCGTTGGGGGAGCCTCTGTGCCATTGCTTTCAATGTTCCGCCAAATCTAGATGACTAGTAACCACCGCAAGCGCTGGTTACTCGGTGGGTGGGTTATAGGACACACAAACCCACGGGAGGCCTTTGTCTTAAGATTCTCAAGGACATTCTCTTTGTTATATGGTTTCAGTGCTGTGGATTAAACCAAGGGCCTTGCACATGATAGGCAAGTGCGCTACCACTGAGCCACCCTCCCAACTTCCTAATTTGTGGGTTCCCCTCCCCCTTTGTCACAGGCAGTCATGAGCCACCTGGCCTGGGTTGTGGGAACCAAACATGGATCCTTTGCAACAGCGATACGTGCTTTTTAAGGACTGAGGTGTCTCTTCGGTCCCCACTTTACTTTC